ACAACGACCCAGTGATTCCAGCCATGAAAGCCTTCGACAATACAAGGCAAGAATCCTTGCTCTCAGTGATTATTGGCCTATAGACAGTTTAGGACAGTATATTAGGGTGTGTGGTTTGTCAAAAACCCATCCCGTTTTTGGTTGGCATCCCATTCCATTTACCAGGAAATTCCTGAAACTGGGAGGGGGGAGGGGATACAGTTTGAGGAACATTCTACCAGTCTATTCTACACAGTGAGCTGAGGAGCCTTCTAACCAAGGTGAAAGAAGAACGTGCAAAAGCTGGGTTGCAGGTAAACATAAAAGAAACCAAGATGAGGGCAACCAGACTGATTGATAACTGGCAAATAGAGGGAGAAAATGTGGAGACAGTGACAGACTTTGTATTTGTAGGCGTGAAGATTACTGCAGACGCAGACTGCAGCCAGGAAATCTGAAAATATTTCCTTCTTGGGAGCAGAGCAATGACCAATCTTGATAAAATAGTGAAGAGTAGAGACATCACACTGGCAATAAAGATCCGCATGGTTAAAGCATTAGTATTCCTGTAGTAATCTATGGATGTGAGAGCTGGACCATAAGGAAGGCCGAGTGAAGGAAGATGAACACTTTTGAACTGTGGTGTTGGAGGAAAATTATGAGAGTGCCTTGGACCGCAAGAAGATCAAACCAGTCCATACTCCAGGATATAAAGCCCAGCTGCTCACTGGACCTTATCTCTATTCCAACTCCCCTTCATGTCTCTACCTCCCTTTCCACCATCCTTGGCCTTCCATGTCAGGATGATTAGGGTTCAACATGCAATTTACGATGCTCTCTTCTGGGACTGAATTTTTGCCATTCTGAGCTCATAAATCTTTCTTTTCCCTTTCTCAGGGAATGGAGGTTTTCCCCATGCTCAGCTCTGTTTTGCATGATCCCACCATGTTTAAAAGCCCCAGTGGTTTCAACCCAGAGAACTTCTTGGATGAGAATGGATGCTTCAAGAAGAATGATGCCTTTGTGCCATTCTCCTCAGGTAGAACTTTCTTAAATACATGAATGAGGAGAAGAATTATATTCTTGCTTGTTAGCTGGTTTGTTCAATACATGTGTAAGGGTTAGGGTTCTTATATTAGCATTTTAAGATTTTAAAGCATTACTTACCCATTTCATCTGCCTCCTTGGCAATCTCTACCTGAGCAACCCACACTGATTGCAGTAGGACCATGTAAAGTGTGAGATCCATTCCAGGATCTTCATGTAAAGTGATTTTTTTGGGTTTTATTTTGTAATTCAGATATCCTTTCATGAAACAAGTAATGTCCTGGACTTCTGGCTAAAGGGGTGGCTGGCCTCTTGGGGAACATTCGTGCTTTCCCTCTCTATGTAGAATGACCTATCTATAAGTCATATAAAAATCCATAATTCTGGCCTCCAAATTTGACATTGACTTGTATAGGAGGGTTACTTGTACATGAGTGGTGGAGGCTCCTTCTTTGGAAGCTTTTAAACAGAGGCTGGATGGCCATCTGTCAGGGGTGATTTGAATGCTGTATTCCTGCTTCTTGGAAGGGGATTCGACTGGATGGCCCATGAGGTCTCTTCCAACTCTTTGATTCTATGATTCTATGAGTGTATTTGATAGATACAAGACAATGAGATGTCTGGTTGGAAAGTAAGTCCATAAAAAACCATAGATACCATGAACAAGGTACGGGGACATAGAACGGGCTGCATCTCATTAGACATCTGATCAAAAAAGCTGGATGCGTCTCTCTTCGTCTCCTGACAAATTCTTCTTTTCTTTCAGGGAAACGGATTTGTCTGGGTGAATCACTGGCCTGCATGGAGCTTTTCCTCTTCTTCACCACCATCCTGCAAAGTTTCCAGTTGAAGCCCCTTGTGCCCCCAGAAGACCTTGATCCAACCCCACTGCAGAGTGGCTTTATCAGTGTCCCACCCATTTATCATTTCTCCTTCATCCCACGCTGACTTCAGGATATCTTTTTTCTTCAGCTTGTGGCTGTTATAATCCGTATTCTCAAACTCTACGGGGAGATGGAAGGGCAATTGATTTGATCACTGCCTCCACCAGAGAGGGGAGTCAGCAACAATGATTTCCATACTTCAATCTCTTATTAGGTCTTGTTGTACTGGGGTACTACTGAAATTGCAGCTGGGTAACAGGGATACTTTTGACCCATTCCTACATTTTCTATCTCCTGAAAAATCCTAAGAGAGTGAGGTCTCCTGAATATGTATAGTTAAGTGATTTTGAAGTACCGAGGATGCCTTGAAATTATCTAGTGGGAAACCATCTCAATTCCAAATCTATGTAGCAGTTGGCCCTCCTTATCTAGGGGTTCAACAACTCGTAGCTTGAAAATATTCAAAAAATTTAAAAATACCAAAAGTAAATATTGATCTTGTCAGGCTCCTTCTTTGGAAGCTTTTAAACAGAGGCTGGATGGCCATCTGTCAGGGGTGATTTGAATGCAATATTCCTGCTTCTTGGCAGGGGGTTGGACTGGATGGCCCATGAGGTCTCTTCCAACTCTTTGATTCTATGATTTTACATACAAGGGACATCATTTTACTACCCCATTGAGTATAATGGTATTTGGGCATCTACCCATTTTATATGCACAGGAGATCTTGTAGCCAAATTCCAGCAGATACCAAGTGGCTCAACTCCACATTTATGGGTCAGTAATTTCACATTCAGCTTTTTCCTGATCAATAGATGAACAGATCTTCGTCAACCAGAATGAATGTTGCCTCATAAATGGAGATTGGAATCAGGAACAGATAGGGATTTTGAGTATGAATCAGCAATAAATGCATAATTCTAGATGAACTGTATTAGTGAATTCTGGCCAATGCGATCACCTTTTGGTTTGAGCTTTGACTTCATCATCAACCAGCAGGCTATTTCGTCTAAGGGTCGCTGTGATACTAAAATGCGAATAAGCTTCTATGATAATAGATTCAGAAGGAGTCTAATTTGAATTAGCAATAAATCGTCATGTGACATATTCCAAGAGGATCATGTCCTGGTATTTCAGGTCTCCAACTTCTCTCAACTTCATCTTGAATTGTGCTTTGTAGGGTATGAACCAATTATATACAAGCTCTTCCCAAGAGTTGCATTTGTTTTCTTTTTAATCTGGGAGATTATTGGTTTTTTTTTTTTTTTTTTTAAAAATGGGTGCTCATCTGCTCTAAGAGTGAGCCCTCAGCCTCAGATTGCCAGGGCTAATACATTACACATTGCCATTTGTTTTTGGTGCCATGCCACCATTATATAAAGTACTATCTTCATGCCTGGGAGAAATTCGTTATGACTGTGACAGCTAATGTAAGAAATTACTTGTTGCTGAAATTTGTCTTGGGTTATTGACCTTGGAAGCCATATTAGATGCTGCATATGAAATAAGTAAGTTGTAGGGGCTCAGCCTGTGATTGTCTCTTTGCCTCAGGCTTCTGAGGAGAATGATCATGAGGTTGCAGAGGTTTCAATGTCTGAGTTAAATGATCAGGTTTCTGCTGACTCTCAGGGGTTTGTATATATATAGAGAGTACAGTTAGCCAGAGCGAACCTGAGGATTCTGGGATAGTTGGTTCCCAAGGCAAAGATGCTTCGATGCTAACAGAAAAAGAGGCCGAGGAAAAGGTTAAATGGCCAAGGCCAAATAGTGATAGTGATAGTGAATGGAATGTACTAATTGGCAAGCCGAGGGAGGACCAGACACTCTTTGATAGGAGAAGTCAAATTAAACAACATCACCACCTGGAAGGAGGTAGAAGACTGTCTGAAAGATTAAGAGAAAAAAAGGGGTCAGGGAGAGGTTTCCCAAGGGAAATGGAATGCCTTTGCCATGGCTTTCTGAATAAATATAGGGTTTGTGAATCTATACTCTTCAGTGAGTTCAACGCTTGATTTTCATGTGTAACCATGCTTTTTGTTTCATGCCTGGTATCCATGCCTTCTTGTTCATGCTAAGATTCCTGTTTACTTCTGCCTGGGATTCATGTTCATGCTGAAATTCTTGTATGCGGTTTGTCCTGGTTTGAAGCGCCTGCATTGGGATTTAATAGTTCAAGTTTACTGCTGTTTCCTCAAGGGACTTTGGTCTTTTGCAACCTTTTGGAACTGAAAGACTCTAACTCTTGTGGACTTGTTTATTGGATTTTTGCAAATCTCCTGTTTCCTGACTGATAATTGGCTGTCTTATTTTACTTTGCTCAACTGACTGTTTTGTGAACATGTCTTTATTACTTGTTTGATTGCTTTTTACCTTTTTGGCTATTGCTATATTAATCCTCAATAAACTGCTTTGCTATTAAGAACATTGATGCGTTTACGGGTTCAAAGGTGCCAACCCCAGCCTTGGTGTGCAACTTAAGTAAATAAGTAAGTAAACTCGCTCTGCGTAGGTCTGCCTTTGAAAAGTGTGTGCCAAGTGTCCCCATTTCTGGAGACATTGGACCTTACCACAGTGGTACTTGCATTGGTTACAGCCAGCTTGGACTCTTGCAACTTGCTCTGTGTAGGTCTGCCCTTGAAAAGCATTCAAATATCAACTGGGTTTTATCAGATCCAACATGGAAACTATATTTCTATACATACATATAGTGACACTTGATTATTACTCAGGAAATAGCCAGGGGATTAGTTCAATCTTTCCTGTCCAGGAAATGTCTGGGGGGAGGAGGGCTGAAAGGTGAAGACCTCTGGGATCTGTCTTGTTACATTTTGACATGAATCACTTATACCATATACACACATAGATCTAATATTTAAAAAATACAATGTAGGCAGGGAGTTGAAAATAGAGGGATACATTTTATTTAGGGTTGAAACAATAAAGTCTTTGTGGGAAGTCGTTGCTGGCGATCTGTTTTGGATCTATGCTGATGCGTATCAGCCAATATCTGCAGACTTCAAAAAGAATTAGAATTCATATATCTCTGTCCTTGTGCCCTTGGGAAACTATAAATTGTTGTGGTGGGTATCATGTTCGACAATATTACTAAAATGCAAATAAGCTTCTATAACAAAAGCATCAGAATCTGACCTCGCAATTAATCATTATGTGACATATTCCAAGAGGATCGTATTATGGTGTTTCCGGCCTTCAACTTCTCTCAGCTTCATCTTGAATTGTGCTTTTTAAGGTATGAACTAGTGATGCACAAGCACTTCCCAAGAGTGACATGTTTTCTTTTCAATCTATACCCACATCTGGAAGATGACTGTTTTCAAAGGAATTGGGTACTCCTCTGATCGGAAACTGGAATAGGATATATTTCTTAGCCCTTGGCCTTAAATTGCCAGCACTACGGTACCAAGGCACCATTATAAAAACTACCAACCCCATGCTTGGGAGAAATTTCTTATGGATGTGATTGCTAATGTAAGAAATTACTTTTGTTCCTGATGCTTGTCTTTGGTTATTGATATTGGAAGCCATCTTGGATCTTTCTCCAGGAAAAGGTGGCATACAAAATAAGTAACTAAATAGGTATGTTATGCCACATTGTCTTTTTCTTTTTTGGAAAAGTAGCAGGATATTTCTCTAAACCGTCAGTAATTCCCCTTTCATATTAATCATTTGGAGGCATTGTTAATTTACTTGTTGGATTTTCGACAGCCATTGACAACTGATAACGTTCACTAATACCTGATCCTTGCTTGCCAGGAGTCCTGTATTTATTAGTTGTCTGCATAGCAGGATTTAGAGATTGCAGAAGGCAGGGGGCAGAACAATCTGGTTGTGTTACCAGGGGCGGCTCGTCCATTACGCGAAGTAAGCGGTCGCAGAACCCTTTTTTTTGCCAGGGGCGCAGAGGCGCCTCTGTAAATGCCCCTCAACCACCACTTGAGGAGCGCCCTCTCAGCTCACAACAGCCCTAGCAGTCCGGGGGGAGCCTCGGCTTTCTTGCCTCATTGCCGGGTGATCCTCTTCCCAAAGAGGTCGGGCCTTGACCCTCGCCTAGGCCCTCTCATTCCTGCTCCACCTGGCCACTGGGTGCGCGAGCAGAGCCGGTGCTCAAACGTTCTCCGCGTTCTATCCCTTCCCCATGACCGGCTCCCTTTCCCGATCCCCCGGCGCTCCACCCGCCTCCTCTCCTCTCCCCAATCTGGTGGGCCAAGGGGCGGAGCTGCCGCGCCTGGCCCGCTTCAGGTCCGGAGGCGTGTCTGAAGACCCCAGCGTGCGCACCAAAAGTCGCCTCTTCTCCTGACTTTCTCTTCAGCCATTGGGACCAAGAGAGAGAGAGAGAGAGCCCCTCCGGCTGGAGGTATCTCCCACCTCCGCTCCCTCCTTTGTTTTTGCGCCTACTTCAGGAAAGGTGGGCATCTCCACCTCTCTCTCTCTCTCTCTCTTGGTCCCAATGGCTGAGGAGAAAGTCAGGAGAAGAGGTGACTTTTGGTGCACACGCCGGGGTCTTCAGGCATGCCTCCGGACCCAAAGCGGGCCAGGCAAGGGAGCAAGTGCGGCAAGTGTAGTTACTGGGATGTATAGTTCACCTACAATCAAAGAGCATTCTGAACTCCACCAATGATGGAATTGAACCAAATATGGCACACAGAACTCCCACGACGAACAGAAAATATATATCAGTGATGGGTTGGGGGGGGGGGGGGAATACTGTTTGCTTACCATTGAAAATTACCTAGGGCCGCCTCTGTGTGTTACATACCTCAGATACAGGAGAATGCTGTATAACTACACATTTGCAGAAGACTCAAAATACTCTTGATTTATGCACCAAGTGTTAATTGTATCAACAATTTAAAATGGGATTTGGATACTTTCCCATGAGAATGCTGTTGTGTCTCCAACACAATGCAATGCAGCACCTCTACACTGAGATCCAGTAAAGGCTCTGATGGAGTATAAATCTAAATGAGCAGAGATGTGATGTTACATTGTGGTGTTGGATCTTCATTCCTAAGATCCATGAAAGCTAATCCTTTGATCTGCAGAAACTGTAAACTGCAAATCCATATCTCCACTAGACCCAACAGCCACAGTACTGGCTAGCCAAGGAAGAACTGAGCCAATTTGACTTACATCTCACAGCCAGAACATTTAACACGTTGCTTCTGGGCCATTACATCCTACCAAAGAAATCCACAATTGATAAAATAAGTGGAACTGAATTAGAGGGAATACATGACCACAAAATCCGCACCTTGGAGTTGGCTGGTCAGTTACTTTCTTTTTTGTCATCTACCCTTTTCTCTTTTTATTCTGCTAGCTGTGCAGGGGCAGCTCAACCCATTACGCAAAGTAAGCATTTGCAGTATAGTTGCTTTTGCCCAGGGGCGCTCTTGAGGTGCTCTTGGGGGAAAATAGACCTTGACATATGCGAGTTGTAGTTACTGGGATGTATAGTTCACCTACAATCAAAGAGCATTCTGAACTCCACCAACGATGGAATTGAACCAAATATGGCACACAGAACTCCCACGACAAACAGAAAATATATATCAGTGATTGGTTTGGGGGGGGGGGGGCAAAATACTGTTTGCTTACCGTTGAAAATTACCTAGGGCCGCCTCTGTAGCTATGATAAAACTATCACACGTTCCTTAAGGACCCACTCCCTGCCTCTGTTTGGGAATTTCTACAGATGTAGTCATCAGCAACTTTAAACACTCTTCTCAAGTTGACAGATTGGAAACATAGTCAGGGCATTCAGAGATAGTATTGTGTCTAAGGAGACCTTCAAGATTCACTGAGGCATTGGACTGTCGCCTTGGCTTGCATTCCTTCTCTTGCACAGACCTTGGTGGATTCATCCTTACTCTTGGAATGACCCTAATTAAGCATTAGTCATTTTTGCTCACATTCCTTCTACTCAAATATTTGATCCTTCTTGGATCAAGAAGTCTAAATTTCAAATGTTGATTATTATACAATTTGGACATTTTAGCCAATTTAGATGGGGTTTATTCAATACATTCAATACATTCAATACATTAGGCAAGACCCCTCCTCAGCAGACTTCAAAAAAAAAATCCCTGAAAACCTGGCTCTTCCGATGTGCTTTTGGAGAGTGACCATTTATCCTATTTCTGTCTGCTCCATCTATAGTGTTGCCCCTATGATGCACTTTCTCCCATCCTAATCTGAAAGCTTTACCTCACTGTTTTATCATTCACTTACATATTTTCTATTCCTACCTCTCCCAGGGTTTTACCATTTTATCTTGTCCATTTGGCCTGCCCATCCTGTTTGATTTTATATTATGTTAATTTGCTTTATTTATTTTATTACTTGAACTATTTTCTGATGTAATGTTTTGTTCTCTGCATTCTGTGTTTTATTGTGCTGTATTGTATTTTTGCACTTGGCCTCATGTTAGCCGCCCGGAGTCCCCTTTGGTGGGGTATAAATAAAGATGATGATGATGGTGATGATGATGATGATTATTATTATTGCAGATTTTCCACAACCAATATTTCATCATCTATATATGCTTTCAGTTTGTACATTTGTCCAATCCAATCCCCTGCAGTGAAGGAATAAACAGTAATGTTTTCCCTAGTTCCAGGGATTAATGGTCTATATCAGGGGTCCTCAAACTAAGGCCTGGGGGCCAGATGAGGCCCTCCAAGGTCATTTACCTGGCCCTCACTCAGGGTCAACCTAAGTCTGAAATAACTTGAAAGCACACAATAACAACAACAATCCTATCTCATCAGCCAAAAACAGGCCCAAACTTTCCATTGAAATACTAATAAGTTTATATTTGTTAAAATAGTTCTTAATTTTCATTATTGTATTGTTTTTAAGTGTTTTTGCACTACAAATAAGAGAGGAGATTCCATCTGAACATTAGGAAGAACTTCCTGACTGTGAGAGCCGTTCAGCAGTGGAACTCTCTGCCCCGGAGTGTGGTGGAGGCTCCTTCTTTGGAAGCTTTTAAGCAGAGGCTGGATGGCCATTTGTCAGGGGTGATTTGAATGCAATATTCCTGCTTCTTGGCAGGGGGTTGGACTGGATGGCCCATGAGGTCTCTTCCAACTCTTTGATTCTATGATTCTACGTGCAGTGTGCATAGGAATTCATTCATGTTTTTTTTCAAATTATAATCCAGCCCACCAACAGTTTGAGAGACTGTGACCTGGCCCTCTATTTAAAAAGTTTGAGGACCCCTGGTCTATATGATTGGTTTCTGCGTTCTCTTACTGTTGACTTGTACTCCAGGTCAGTTTAGTTATGAAACGTGGAAGGCGGTGCTCAACCAACCCCAATAAGAGACCATAAAGCCCCAGCCAGAAAGGGCCATTGTCCACCCCCAAAAGAAAAGGACAATTGACACCCAGTAACATAGCTGTTGGTGGCACAGTGGATTAAACCACTGAGCTGCTGAACTTGCTTACAAGGTCACAGGTTCGATTCCAGGGAGTGGCATGAGCTCCTGCTGTTAGCCCCAGCTTCTGCCAACCTAGCAGTTCCAAAACATGCAAATGTGAGTAGATCAATAGGTACCGCTCTAGCGGGAAGATAACGGCGCTCCATGCAGTCATGCCGGCCACATGACCTTGGAGGCGTCTATGGATAAAGTGAGCTTTTCAGATTAAATATGAAGATGAGCACCAATCCCCAGAGTCGGACTTAATGTCAGGGGAAAACTTTTACCTTTATCTAAGCTGAATGCATAGTAGGATTTAGAGGCCACCGGGAGAAAAACCCAGAACAAACAGGTTGTGTGACATGCCTCACATATGGGAGATTGCTGAATAATAGCACATTTACAGAAGACTGAAAATGCCCTTGAATTATGTGTCGTGGCTTAACTTTTTAAGATTTACTGGGCTTAATCAAAGGTTATTAAAAATTAACAGACATGTTGATAACACATTCTGATATAAAGCACAGAAGGCCCAACGGACATACCTAACCATGGCAAATTTGTTCTTTCCCTCTCTTGGCAGAATAAAGGTTTACTGTATGTCAAAGGCTTTCATGGCCAGAATCACTGGGTTGTTGTAGGTTTTTTGGGCTGTATGGCCATGTTCTCTCCTGACGTTTCGCCTGCATCTATGGTAGGCATCCTCGGATGTTGTCTATTGGAAACTAGGTTTGCTTTTTGAAACTCCCACACACCTCAATATTTTCAAGCGGTGGTTAGATGAATCCATGGACGCAGACCCTGTGACTATAGGTAGCATTACATATAGTAAGTAGCACCCAAATTGTTTTACAGCTTATTAAAAGGTGAAGACATATAAGATCTCGTAGACTGTCTGTAGGAACATATCCACAGCACATATTATTCTGGAAAGAAACTGTTATAGAAGCATAGAATTGGAAGACAGCACATGAGCCATGCATCTAATCTGGTTATACAATATCGTTTCCCAGTGTCATGAACTAAGATGCAACAATTTTCTCTGTGCAGTTATGCAGCCCAGAAGGCAATGTCCAGCCAGCCGCTATAAAAGGCCATGGAGCCCCAGCCAGAAGGAACTAGTTCTACACTCTGCCGAAAGAGAAAGACAGCAGACTATCTGCACCATGGAATGGGCTGGTGTAGTCACCGTCCTCCTTGTTATCTGTGTTTCTTGCCATTTGCTCATATCATCTAAGAGGAAACGATTGCACAAGGGAAGGCTTCCTCCGGGACCCACTCCCCTGCCCCTGATTGGGAATTTCCTGCAGATCAAGTCAGGAGAAACCTTAAAATATCTTCTCAAGGTATGGACATTTTTGATGACTGAGAGCTATGCTTTTTCTTTTTTTTATTGTTTTCTTTACTTTTTTTTGCCTTTTTTGTTCTTTATATTATTATTATTATTTTTTTGTAAAGAAATCTCTTCCAAAGGTTGGTGATTTTTCCCTGGAATTCAATTTGGGGATTTTGGATGTAGTAGAAAAACTAAGAAAATGAATAAGATTCACTGAGACATCTATCTATCTATCTATCTATCTATCTATCTATCTATCTATCTATTGTGTTAGAAGCAAATTGGGAATACAGTTATAATGTATAGAAAAACTGCAAACAAAACTATAAACTTGGCGTTATACTAAATGCCCTTTGACCAGAAGCTGGCCACTTGGATTGCCTCTGGTGTTGCTGTGAGAAGGTCCTCCATTGTGCATGTGGTAGGGCTCAGGCTGCATTGTAGTAAGTACAATGGTTTGCTCTTCTCCACACTCGCATGTCATGAACACAACTTTGTAGTCCCATTACTTAAGGTTAACTGTGCATTGTGTGGTGCCAGAGCACAGTCTGTTCAGCACTTTCCAAGTCACCCAGACTTCTGTGTGCCCAGGGTGAAGTTTCACATCTGGCATCCATCACTGATTGAGGTTCTAGGTTTTAAGCTGCCTTTTTTGGACTCTCACTTGCTGAGGTGTTCTTGCAAGTGTCTCTGTAGATGTCAGGAAACTGCTTCTTGATTTAATTCATTGGCATGTTGGCTGATATCCAAACAGAAGATGGGTCGGAGATGTGAGTACATGAAATGTACTCATTGACCCCAAATTCATCCACTTCAAATGGCTAAACACAAAGATAGTGTCAGAGGTGAAATGTTTATTTCTCCTACAGCTTTACGAAAAATATGGCCCTGTTTTCACGGTCTATTTGGGAACACGTCCAGTGCTGGTCTTGTGTGGACACCAAGCTGTGAAGGAGGCTCTAATAGACAAGGCAGAAGAGTTCAGTGGAAGGAGTACCAAGCCTACATTTGAGATGGCTGTTGAAGGATATGGTGAGGCACTCCAACTGTCTTTGCAAGAATGGTTAAATCTCTTTCTTCTGCTTGTCCTATGATTTCTTTCTTCTTTCTTTTCTCAGGGGTGGGTTTTTCCAATGGAGAACGCTGGAAGCAACTACGCCGATTTTCCATCACCGTTTTGAAGAATTTTGGAATGGGGAAAAAGTCTATTGAGAAACGAATCCAAGAGGAGGCCCAATTCCTGCTGGAGGAATTTCGTAAAATGAAGGGTAAGTGAGTTGTAAGGCAGGTTGAATCCATTCTCTTGAGTGAAAGTAGCTAAAGCCTGAAAGGAGGAATATTGCTCCTTACATCTGATATTTAATGGATGTAGTGTGCATCTTGTAACCAAAAGTACCTTCTGTAGACTGGATCTCTGTTATTTGTTTTTCTTTTGCTGCTGTGTTGCAGGAAAACCTTTAGACCCCACCGACCCTCTCAGGAATGCCGTCTCTAATATCATTTCCTCTATTGTATTTGGGGACCGCTTTGACTATGAGGATGAGGAATTCCAGGCCCTTATGAGGCTAATAAACGATTTCTACTGGGAAGCGAGCTCAACCTGGTCCCAGGTACCTGAATGTTATTCACTTTGTGATAATGTTCAGCTGCTTAAAAATCTTTTGGTCTTGAATCCTATCCTGATGTTCTTCACTTCTCATCTACTAGGCGTTCATATCCAGTCCTGGAACCAGGTGCTCTTTTGATTTTTTTCTGATGTTTGATGCCCTCTTTGTTTCTAACTCCAGAATTTCTTCCAAAGCAAACTAAATACAACTGGTGCTAGGATGAAATTTGGCAGGAAACCCACTAAACATGATTTCTCTTCTCATGCAGCTCTATGACATGTTTCCCACTTTTCTGAAGTACTTCCCAGGGCCCCACAACAGGGTCAATGACATTATGTCACATTTGTCTTGCTTCATTGCCAAGAGAGTGAAGAAGAACCAAGAGACCCTTGACTCTAACTTCCCACGTGACTTTATTGATTGCTACCTCATCCAGATGGAAAAGGTACCTTGCTGGTGCGTGAAGGTGGTGTGGATCTGCCAGTATTTTATCTTGGAATCATCACATGATTTCTTCATCTTCCTCCTTTCAGGAAAAAGGCAATCCACTTAGTGAATTTACTAATAAGAATTTGGAGGTGAGCATCTTTACTCTGTTTTTTGCTGGAACAGAGACCGTCAGTTCAACCCTGAGATATGGCTTCCTGTTTTTGATGAAATATCCCGAAGTGCAAGGTATTGTTGTTATTGTTGTACACAGGCCCGTAGCCAGGATTTTGTTTCAGGGGGAGCTGAGTTTGATTCGGGGGGGGGGGGCTGAGTCTGAGTGAAAGAGGGTCTGGCCTAGCAAACCTTTTGTATCGTTACCCCAATACCCCCATGCATATGGGATATATTGAGCATGGTGATCAGATCATGATATGAATAAACATAACAGTTTAAATAATGTACCAGTAAGACCTTCTCGTGGACCACCATGAGAATTTCGGGGGGGGGGGGCTGAAGCCCCTCAAGCCCCCCCCCCCGGCTACATGCCTGGTTGTACAGTATCACCTCATTTGGCCCACACTGGCAGGTTTAATCTTTTATGGACTTGATTATTGTCCATAAATAATGGTTTATGGACCATTATTGGTTCTCTCTATGAATCTTTAGTTTCTCCAGGGCAACCTCAGATTTAAATTCTTCTGGAAATCGAATGCAGAATCATACTAGAAGACATTGAGATTCTTACAGAGAATGATTATTTGGGATTTTCTACATCCTCCAGAATAATTTGATGGTCAACTTCATGGTTAAATTTCACCCTATCTTCCACTTCTTCACACACATTTGAGTACAGTCAGCCCTCTGTCCCCACGTGTTGTGCATCTGGGAAGGGGGAAGCAAATTTTGGTTTGGCCACCTATGGAGTACTATAAGGATATATAAGCAAACAATGCTATAGCCTCCCCTCTCCTCAACATTTATTTGCCCACTTATAGTTGAGACACTATTTCATTACGTCATTGTCTATAGCAGTGATTCTCAACCTGTGGGTCCCCAGATGTTTTGGCCTTCAACTCCCAGAAATCCTAACAGATGGTAAACTGGCTAGGATTCCTGGGAGTTTTAACCCAAAACACCTGGGGACCCACAGGTTGAGAACCACTGGTCTATAGTGAAACTTCAGTATCCACAGATGTTGATATCCATGGGGTATCTTGGAAATGAACCCCACAAGATACAGAGGGCCTACTAGACTTGAAAATGTTTAGTGGCCACAAGGAGGCATGCCAATAGTATGCTTGATCATTTCAGAAATAACGGGAAAGTTTAAAAATGATGGAAGAGTGTAAGGTATGAGGAATGAGGAAAACTAGCTCATAGTGTCTTCTCCAGCAGAAGAAACCACAATCAGACCTTCCAGGCTGTTGCTTGTGACGTGGTGTTGGTCTTCCTACAATGAATATGCAGAGATTTCATGCCTCTCTTTAGCCTTGTTCATAGTAAAATCTCATGTCCCTTTGAGAGTCAGAAACCCAAGGAGTTAATGTTATTCATATACTTAACAGCAAAAGTGCACGAGGAAATAGATCGAGTGATTGGCCATAATCGCATCCCAAACAATGAAGACCAGAGGCAGATGCCATATACGGATGCTGTCATCCATGAAATACAGAGATTCTGCGATCTCGTACCTATGAATGTGGCCCACATGGTTACTTGTGATACTGAATTCAGAGGATACTTTATCCCTAAGGTACAGTAGTGGAGTAACCAGGAAAGATAAAGGGAGACTGGTTAACTTGAAACTGAGAGTGATAGTCAACTTCACACCTTCCAATGGTTTACGGGAGGAAAATGGGATACATGCAGCCCAAGCAACATCAGAGTGTGGCCAAGATGGCCAAAGATGATTTGAGTTTGCAGCAATTGAAGTAAGCTGAGTGGGAGGACAACAGTGGAACTGGGGGATTTCAAAAGAAGAAAAGGTGTAAATGACAGTGCCTTTGAAAAAAAAAGGGGGGAGATTTATAGCTCAGGTGCAGCAAGTCATTTATCTGGTACACAGCTGGAGGAGATATCATTTGTCATCCATTCAAATATCAACTTGACTTGTCCATGGGCGAAACTTATAGATTAGCATATGGGTGAGCCCAGGATGAGTACTTGTTTTTGAACCTGATCATCTGAAACTCAACTGTCACTAGGAAGAGCAATTGGGTTACTGGAAGTGAGAAACAGGAAGTCCAACTGTCCAGTACATCTTGCAAAAAGGGACATGACCGGCCATTGAGTATCTTACACAGTTTGTGGTTAATGTGTTTTGCTGAGCCTTGAAGTAAGAGAGAGAAGGCAAAAATCCTTGCTCTCAGTGGAATATCCATTCCACTTTGGTTTAAGCCACCTTCAGGAATACCTGCTAATATTGGTTATTGTCCTATAGATTATTTAGGACGGCATATTAATGGTGTGCAATTTGCCAAAACCCTGTCCGGGTTTTGGCTGGCCCATTTATTGGGAAATTCCTGAAACTGGCAGGGGGTGGTATACATCTGGCCCATTGGCAGCAATGTGGTAACTGGCAGGGCTCTTCGTTCCATCATTTTAATACTATCATAAAAATTTTGTTTATAAAAATTTTGAAAATTCCACAGAAATCCGTGGATATGTGAAATGTTCTGAAATTTGGTGGTCTGAGAGTGGAAAATGTGTTCTACAATTGTAGTGAGTTTCACCCCAATAGCTGTAAAAATGAGGGAGAGAGGAGCCCTTGAAGTTTCCTCAATTACAGTAATTATGTGCATGCACAATTACTATAACGAAATAGTAACAAAATTTCATCACTCATGTTATAGTAATGAATTTTTCACTAACCAGACTTTAAATACACTTTAGAAATGAAACACCATCACCCCCCAGTTTTGTAATGACTTTTGAACCATTTTTTAATGGATCACACATCCCTACAAGGTAGTCTGAAATGTTCCATCATTTTCTCGTGGGCTACCTGAATAAGAGCATGCAGAGGTTGCCACGACCATAGTTTAAGCTTCTGCTGCTTCTATCTTTGAATCTTTGTAGTTCAGACGCTCATACTTTTTTTGTAGGACAGTTAGGTTGTTTTCTTATCTATTCTGTTTTACAGTCTTTACACAGAACAACTAAATCTTGTGGACTATGAGTGGATGAAAACATGCAATTTACGATGGGCTCTTCTAGGACTGAATTTTTGCCATTCTGAGCTCATAAATCTTTCTTTTCCCTTTCTCAGGGAATGGAGGTTTGCCCTGTGCTCAGCTCTGTTTTGCATGATCCCACAATGTTTAAAAACCCCAATGTTTTCAACCCAGAGAACTTCCTGGATGAGAATGGATGCTTCAAGAAGAATGATGCCTTTGTGCCTTTCTCCTCGGGTATTTATTTATTTATCTATTTATCTATCATGTCAGTATCAACCAGACAATTGTATTACATTTTTAACATATTTTTAACAAACAGACAAGACAGAGTTTGCAAGCTTGGTAGTTGATTAAATGTCCTTTGACCAGTAGCTGGCCACTTGGAGTGCCTCTGGTGTGGCTGCAAGAAGGTCCTCCATTGTGCATATGGCAGGGCTCAGGGTGCATTGCAGCAGGAGGTCTGTGGTTTGCTCTTCTCCACACTCGCATGTCGTGGATTCCACTTTGCAGCCCCATTTCTTGAGGTTGGCTCTGCATCTCGTGGTGCCAGAGCGCAGCCTGTTCAGTGCCTTCCAAGTCTCCCAGTTTTCTGTGTGCCCAGCGGGGAGTCTCTCATTTTGGTATCAGGCATTGATTGAGGTTCTGGGTTTGAGCCTGCCACTTTTGGACTCCCGCTTGCTGAGGTGTTCCAGCGAGTGTCTCTGTTGATCTCAGAAAACTATTTCTTGATTTAAGTCGTTGATGTGATGGCTGATACCCAAACAAGGGATGAGCTGGAGATGTCACTGCCTTGGTCCTTTCACTATTGGCTGCTACTCCCTGGCAGATGTCAGGTGGTGCAATACCGGCTAAACAGTGTAATTTCTCTAGTGGTGTAGGGCACAGACGCTCCGTGATAATGCGGCATGTCTCATTAAGAGCCACATCCACTGTTTTAGCATGGTGAGATGTGTTCCACACTGGGCATGCATACTCAGCAGCAGAGTACCATAGTGCAAGGGCAGATGTCTTCACTGTATCTGGTTGTGATCCCCAGGTTGTGCCAGTCAGCTTTCGTATGATATTGTTTCTAGCACCCACTTTTTGCTTGATATTCAGGCAGTGCTTCTTGTAGGTAAGAGCACAGTCCAGAGTGACTCCCGGGTATTTGGGTGCTCTGCACTGCTCCAGTGGGATTCCTTCCCAGGTGATCCTCAGAGCTCGGGATGCTTGTCTGTTCTTGAGATGAAAAGCACACGTCTGTGTTTTAGATGGATTAGGGATCAGATGGTTTTCTCTTTAATAGGTAGTAAGAGCACCTAGAGCTTCGGAGAGCTTCTGTTCAACCATCTCAAAGCTCCCTGCTTGAGCAGTAATGGCACGATCATCAGCATAGATGAAGCTCTCTGTCCCTTCTGGCAGTGGCTGGTCATTTGTGTAAATGTTATCCTCAGGTAGAGCTTTCTTAAACACACTAATGAGGAGGATTGTATTCTTGCTTGTTAGCTGGTTTGTTCAATATATGTATAAGGGTATAAGGGTTAGGGTTCTTATATTAGCATTTCAAGATTTTAAAGCATTAGTTACCCATTTCATCTGCCTCCTTGGGCAATCTCTACCTGAGCAATTCACACTGATTGCAGTAGGACCATGTAATATTTATTTTATTTATTTACTTACTGTATTTGTATACTACCTTTCTCAGCCCATAGGTGACTCAAGACAGTTAACAGGGTAAAATTCAATGTTTACAATATTATAAATAAAAGTAAAAACATAACATATAATAAAAACTAAACAAATCAATAAATATAAATTCATAGTGTCTCTGTGTTAAAAACGTTGTCCGGTCTCATTGTCGTCATTCCATTTTCCTATGTCTGTTACTCTGCATTTGGACACAGTTGTTCAAAAAGTCACGTCTTGACTTTTTTCCGGAATGTTAAAAGGGAGGTGGCTGATCTAATATCTATAGATAAGGTGTTCCATAGCTGAGGGGCCACAACCGAGAAGGCTCTGTCTCTCGTCTCCACCAAATGTACTTGTGATGAAGGCGGCAATGAGAGCTGGGCTTCCCCAGATGATCTTAATGTCCTAGATGGTTCATAAGGGGAGATGCGTTCAGATATGGAATTTGGGCCAGAACCGTTTAGGGTTTTATTGGCTAAAGCCAGCACTTTGAATTGTGCCCGGTAGCAAACTGGCAGCCAATGGAGCTGGCACAACAGAGGAGTTGTATGCTCCATGAGCGTCGTTCCTGTTAGCAATCTGGCTGCCATTCATTGGATGTTTGGTGGGGACGTTTGGTGGGGACGAGAGACAGGGCCTTCTCTGTGGTAGCCCCCCGACTCTGGAACTCTCTCCCCAAGGACATCAGACAAGCCCCAACGTTGGCAGTCTTTAGGAAGAGCTTGAACACCTGGCTGTTCCAGTGTGCCTTTCCAGAATAGGAAACTCCCAGCATCATGTCCCAAACGCACTTTATTAGAGATTTAAGATTGCCTGCACATTGCACCTACCCTAAAATCCTTACATTTACCTGTCATGTCCAGCACTTTTAATTTTTATTCATTACATTTGGCCCGGCCCTAGTTTTAACTGTGTCATGATGTTATTGTTTAATGTTTTATTGTTTATTGCTTAATGTTTATTGGTTTGCGAAAGTTTTATTGTGTATTTGTTATGCTGTTGTTTTATTGAGGGCCTTGGCCTATGTAAGCCACACCGAGTCCTTCGGGAGATGTTAGCAGGGTACAAATAAAGATAATAATAATAATAATAATAATAATAATAATAATAATAATAATAATTTGAAGCTTCCGGATAGTCTCCAAAGGCAATCCCACCTTGAGGGTGTTGCAGTAGTCTATACAGAATGTAACCAGAGTGTGGATTACCGTTGTCAAGTCAGACTTCAGCTGGCCCATACATGTGATCCATTCCAGGATCTTCATGTAATATGATTTTTTGAGGGTTTTATTTTGGAATTCTGGTTGGCTTTCATGAAACGAATAATGTTCTGGACTTCTGGCTGAAGGGGTGGCTGGCAGCTTGGAGAACATTAGTGCTTTCCCTTTTTATGCAGAATGACCTATCTATAAGTCATATAAAAATCCGTAATTCTGGCCTCCAAACTTGACATTGATTTATACATGAGGACGACTTGTACATGAGTGTATTTGCTAGAAGCAGGACAATGAGATGATTGGTTGGAAAGGAAAGTCCATAAAAAGCCGTAGACACTACGTACAAGGTAAAGGTTGCATCTCATGAGTCAACTGATCGGAGAATTTGGGTGCATCTATCCTCACGTCCTGACAAATTCTTCCTTTTCTTTCAGGGAAACGGATTTGTCTGGGTGAATCAATGGCCCGCATGCAGCTTTTCCTCTTCTTCACCACCATCCTGCAGAGTTTCCAGTTGAAGCCCCTTGTGCCCCCAGAAGACCTTGACCCAACCCCGCTGGAGACTGGATTTATCAGTGTCCCACCCATTTATCAACTCTCCTTCATCCCACACTGACTCCAAGATACCTTTTTTCTTCAGCTTGAGGCTGTTGTACTGTATAATCCACATTCGCAAACTCTTTGGGGAATTAATCTGATCATTGACTCTACCACAGAGGGGAGTCAGCAACAATGGTTTCCATATTTCAATCCAATATTAGCTCTTGTTGTATTGGGGTGCTACTGAAATCGCAGCTGGGTAACAGGGATAATTTTGACCAGTTCCAACATTTTCTATCTCCTGAAAAATCCTAAGAGAGTGAGGTCTCTTGATTATGTATAGTTAAGTGATTATGAAGTACTGAGGATGCCTTAAAATTATCTAGTGGGGAACCATCTTAATTACACATCTATGTAGCAGTTGGCCCTCCTTATCTAGGGTTTCAACTACCCATAGCTTGAAAATATTCCAAACTTTTAAAAATACCCAAAGTAAATATTGATCTTGTCATTTTACATATAAGGGACATAATTTTACTACCCCATTGAGTATAATGCCACTTGGGCATCTACCAATTTTATATGCATGGGAGATCTTGTAGCCAAATTCCAACAGATACCAAGGATCCAGTGGCTCAACTCTACATTTATGGGTCAGTAATTGTTTAATAGTTTCACATTCAGCTTTTTCCTGATCAATAGAGGAACAGATCTTTGTCAACCAGAATGGATGTTGCCTCATAAGTTAAATGATCAGGGTTCTGCTGACTTCTTCAACTTCTCCAACTTCTCTCAACTTCATCTTGAATTGTGCTTTGTAAGGTATGAACTGATGATATATTCATACAAGCACTTCGTGAGAGTGGCATTTGTTTCCTTTTCAATCTGAAAGATCATTGTTTTCAAAGGATTTGGGTGCTCATTTGCATTAAGAGTGAGCCCTCAGCCTCAAATTGCCAGCACTAGGTATGGATAGAGTTGCTTGGATAACTCATTGCTCATAATAATTTTGTTAAAATTACCTTGTTGAAATTATTTCGAAGCTTTTTTATAAACCAGAAGTCCCTTTGGAAATGATTCAGCTTCCCCCTGCTTCTGGTCCCTGGCCTCGGCTCAAGCCAGAGAAGCCAGTTTTAAACCAGAGAAGGAAGGAATTTCCTGGCCTCAGCTTAAGCCAGAGAAGCCAGTTTTAAAGCCAAAGAAGCCAGTTTTATACCAGAGAAGGAAGGAATTTCCTAGCCTCGGCTCAAGCCAGAGAATTCTGTTTTAAAGCCATAGAAGCCAGGGTTAAAGCTAGAGAAGCCAGTTTTAAACAAGAAAAGGAAGGAATTTCCTCAGCTTGCTTTTCCCTGCTTCTAGAGTAAAACAACTACTTTCAAAGTAAAGGCCACCCAATGAAAGAGGAAATAACACTTTCAAACCATTAACGAAAGGATTCGGAAGTTTCGGAAGTTTAGAAAAGATTTGAATTTTTTTCTGTGAAAATCAGAATTAACTTTAGAATCAAAACACTTGCGCCCCCACATCCGAAATGAGTTTTGAACCATTTTTTTTATCAACCAAGCCTAGCTAACACTACTACATTACAAATTGCCATTTGTTTTCGGTACCATGCCACCATTACATAAGGTATCATCCTCATGCCCCTGGGATAAATTTGTTATGGGTGTGACAGCTAATGCAAGAAATCACTTGTTGCTGAAATTGGTCTTTGGTTATTGACCTTGGAAGCCATATTAGATCCTGCATATGAAATAAATAAGTAAATAAGTAAGTAAACTCGTTCTGCGTAGGTCTGCCCTTGAAAAGCATGTGCCAACTGTGCCTGTTTCTGGAGACGTTGGACCTTACTACAGTGGTACATCCATTGGTTCCATCCAGATTGGACCATTGCAACTCGCTGTGTGTAGGTCTGCCCTTGAAAAGCGTCCAGAAATTACAGTACGTTTAAAGAGCTGTGGCCAGGCTTCTAATGGGAGGCTTCAGGGAGCGCAGCATGCCTATCCTGAAATGTGTCATTGGCTGCTTGTCTGTTTCTGGGCTCAATTCAAGGTGCTGGTTATCACCTATAAAGCCATTTACGGTTTTGGTACAGAAGCCCTTCTTTCAGCCCCACACCTTCCCGCCAGGACCCTCACCCGAATACAAGTCGAGGGGGGCTTTTTCAGCCTAAAAAAGGACTGAAAAACTAGGTTTATACTTGAGTATATACAGTAAATTGGTGCCTGTTATATAAAATGGTGAAGAATATGGAACCCAGGAAAGAAAGAACATGGAATGGCTTGACAATGTCTTTGAAAAATGAGCTAATAGGAAGTTACAGGTGTTTAATGCTTTTAATGCTTTTTACAGGGTTTTTTTTATAATGTGTGTTAATTGTTTTCAATTTTGTTTTAATTTTGTTTGTTTATTGTGGCATTGAATCGTGCCAGCGTAAGCTGCCTTGAGTCGTCTTCGGGCTGAGAAAGGTGGTGTAGAAATGCAGTAAATAAATAAATAAACTCAATCAAATGCCAATATTGCCAAAATAAAGGTTTGCTTTTTGAAACTCCAGTGGTTGGTGTCCACATGGACACAGTGACTATGGGTGGCACTACCCAGGGGTGAGAAAGGTAGTATATAAATACTGTAAATCTATATAAATAAAAATGTAATGTTCATTTGTGGGATTAACATAACTCAAAAACCACTGGATGAATTGACAGCAAATCTGGACACAAGACACCTATTAACCCAAGGAGTGACCATTACTCAAAGAAAATTGATTTTGTCATTTGGGAGTTGTAGTTTCTGGGATTTATAATTCAACTACAATCAAAGAGCATTCTGAACTCCACCAGTGATGGAATTGAACCAAACGTGGCATACAGGCCTCCCATGACCAACAGAAAACACCAAAAGGGTTTGGTGGGCATTGACCTTGAGTTTGGGAGTTGTAGTTCACCTACATCCAGAGAGCACTGTGGACCAAATTGGGCACAAATATTCCATATGCCCAAATATGAACACAGATGGAGTTTGGGGGAAATAGACCTTGACATTTGGGAGTTGTAATTACCGGGATTTATAGTTCACCTACAATAAAAAGAGCATTCTAAATCCCATGAATGACAGAATTGGGGCAAACTTCCCACACAGAACCTCAATGACCAACAGAAAATACTTAAGGCCATACAGTCTAACTCCCTTCACCAGGGCAAGAAAACATAATAAAAGCCCTCCTGACAAAGAGCCATCCAGCCATAGATATAGATAGATATATATGATTCACACACACAGATGTAGTATCACAGATTTGCCTACTCTGGAAMAKRSACCACATAATTGTCCTAAAGAAGGACAATTATGTGGTGCATGTTCCAGAGTAGGCAAACCAGACAATCTCCACATCAACACTGACAAAGAAACAGCAAGAAATACCRTTTATCCACAAGCAGAAAGAAATTACATATATTAGAAACCAACACTTTCTAATTACTTCATTTTTCAGATCACCAGACTGGGCCACAGCAATGCATGGCAGGGGAAAGCTAGTAAATACATAAATAAATAATACCCAAATTGTATTGTAGCTGAAAAAAAGGTTAAGACATCTAAGATCTCTTCAGGAAAATAACCTACAGTAGAGTAAATGGGCCGGCCGAAAGTTGGATAAGCAAAAATGTTGGATAATAAGGAGAGATTAAGGAAAAGCCTTTTAAATGTCAAATTACATTACGATTTTACAAATTAAGCACCAAAACATCATGTTTTACAACAAATTGACATTAAAAGCAATTCAATACGACTGGTTACGTTATGTACTAATTACTGTATTTACGAATTTAGCACCAAAACATCACAATGTATTGAAACTGCTGTGGATCCAGGCGGGAGGCAGACTGCGTTCGATAATACAGAATGTTGGATGAGTGAAGGTTGGATAAGTGAGACTCTTCTGTATTACAGAATCATAGCGTTGGAAGACACCCCAGGAGCCTTGCATCTAACCTGAATAAACAGTATTGTTTCACAGTGTCATGGATTAAGATGCAACATTTTTGCTCTGTGCAGTTATGAAATCCAGAAGGCAGTGTTCAAGCAGTTCCTATAAAAGGCCATGGAGCTAGATGGGACTGGTTCCACAATCTGCTGAAAGAGAAGGACAGCGGACTATCTGCACCATGGAATGGGCAGGTGTAGTCACCCTCCTCCTTGTTATTTGTGTTTCTTGCCATTTTCTCATATCATCTAAGAGGAAACGAATGCACAAGGGGAGACTTCCTCCGGGACCCACTCCCCTGCCCCTGATTGGGAATTTCCTGCAGATCAAGTCAGGAGAAACCTTAAAATCTCTTCTCAAGGTATGGACACTTTTTTGAACTCTTATATTTGATGGCAAAAAGGATCTTGTAATGATCAGAAAGGACGGTTTGTTGAATGAAGTAAAGTCATGAAAACTGTTAGAGAGAGAGAGGTAAGAACACATACACATACACACACACATCTATGTACATGGGTCTGCTGAAAGGAAGATTGGAAGCTATCCCTTTTCTTTTAAAAATAATTTTCTTTACATTCTTTGCTTTTTTTCTTTATATTTATTTTATAAAAAAATCTCTTATCACGATTTGTGGTTGTCCCCTGAAATTCAACTTGGGCATTTTGTATGTAATAGAAAAATTAAGGAGATTAATATTCACTGTGGCATTGAGTCATCTTACTAGTTTCCTTCCATTGCCATATTTCACTTGCACTGGCCATAGATTTTTATCTTTGCAATTTCCCCCAATTATGCTTGCAAAAACAGAAAGGATTGCCATTTTGTTCTGTAGTCTGTCTGTGGTTTTGAGAATTTCTTTTGCCTTATCAGAGATTTCCTATTACGGAAGGAGATATATGATCTTCAGTGCAAAGTACCTTCCTTTTAGACATACTTGTGACAGAATGTAAAATAAACCATGTGTAGTTCACGTTTGATCAGCCTACACACTGCCTTGCCAGAGAAAGAAAATATGCCACACAGATAATCAATAAAGAGCAAATAGTTTACGCTTCTTAATTCAGAACATATGTACAATATGATCCGTTGTATCAACCCACTAAATGTCCTTTTAAGAGAGATTTAAAATGGTCCTTTCTGTGTCTTCAGCTGTCAAGAAGCAAATCAGTCTCTCTTTGCTTCTCTCTCTCTCTGCCTGTCTCCACCTGCATAGCTCAAGCCTGAACAAAAATGCAACAGTATCCAAAGGGTCCAGGCTCAGCCATCACACCATGCATTGCCCAACCAATCAGCTTATTTTGCAGTTGACATACACATACTCACTGATGACATACACATGCTTGCATTCTCCAACAATACTTCTAAGATCTGTTGCAATGCAATGTGAAATGAAATGTGCTCCTTGACTTCAAATGGATGTCAAATGACAACATTCCAAAATGTCTGCCTAAACACAAAGATAGTGCCAGAAGTGAAACGTTTATTTCTTCTACAGCTGCACGAAAAATATGGCCCTGTTTTCACAGTCTATTTGGGAACACGTCCAGTTCTGGTCTTGTGTGGACACCAAGCTGTGAAGGAGGCTCTAATAGACAAAGCAGAAGAATTCAGTGGAAGGAGTACCAAGCCTACATTGGAGAGGGCTGTTGAAGGATATGGTGAGGCACTCCAATTGTCTTTGCAACAATGGTTAAAACTCTTTCTTCTGCTTGTCCTATGATTTCTTTCCTTTTCCCCTCAGGAGTGTGCTTTTCCAATGGAGAACGTTGGAAGCAACTGCGCCGATTCTCCGTCACCGTCTTGAAGAGTTTTGGGATGGGGAAAAAGTCTGTTGAGGAGAGAATACAAGAAGAGGCCCAATTCCTGCTGGAGGAATTTCGTAAAACGAAGGGTAAGTGAGTTGCCAGGCAGGTTGAATTTATTCTGTTGAGTGAAAGTAGCTTAATCCTAAAAGAGGGAATATTACTCCCTACATCTGATATTTAATGGATGTACTGTGCATCTTGGAACCAAAAGTACTTTCTGTAGACTGGTTATTTGTTTTCATTTTCCTGTTGTGTTGCAGGAAAACCTATAGAGCCCACCTACGTTCTCGGCCGTGCAGTCTCCAATATCATTTGCTCCATTGTGTTTGGGGAGCGCTTTGACTATGAGGACGAGGAATTCCAGGCCCTCATGAGGCTAATACACAATTTCTTCTGGGAGATGAGCACAACCTGGTCCCAGGTACCTGTTGTGGACTGCTTTTCTGATTCTGAGGGAGAAGAAGGACAGGTGGTGGAAGAGGCTAGCAGAGAAAATACTGAGAAGTCAGACCATTCCCTAGGGATAGCAGTGCTGGGAAGTTCAGGGTTTTAAATTAGCAGCAAAGTCAGGGGCTTGGTGCTTGCTGCAACCAGGGGTGGTTCAACCCATTACGCAAAGTAAGCATTTGCAGTATAGTTGATTTTGCCCAGGGGCGCTCTTGAGGTGCTCTTGGGGGAAAATAGACCTTGACATATGCAAGTTGTAGTTACTGGGATGTATAGTTCACCTAAAATCAGAAAATATATATCAATGATTGGTTTGGGGGGGGGGGCAAAATACTGTTTGCTTACCATTGAAAATTACCTAGGGCCACCTCTGGCTGCAACTGACCTATTTTCGAGGGAGTTCCTGTTACCAGCACTGTATTGTTGTTCCAGCATCGTATCTCTGAAGGCTCTGGTCATTTGCAACTTGTAAGGCTGTTTACCAAAAACTTTATTTTGCTGTGTGATATGAAGACTTCTGTCTTATGCTACTTGAAGAGCATGTATTATCTTTGTTTTGGCTAAGTAAAGCCTTTTTTATTTGCTTTCACTTATGTCTACGGCTGTTTCTGGCATAAAACCGAACAGTACCCAAATATTACTTTGTGACAATGTTCAGCTGCTAAGAAAACGATTGGACTTCAATACTATCTTGATGTTCTTCACTTCTTCTTTACTAGATGTTCATATCCATTCCTGAAACCCAGTGCTCTTTTGATTTAACCTAATCAGAACAAAACTGAGAACTTGGATGCAACTGTTACTAGGGTGAAATTTGGCAGGAACCCCACTAAACATTGTTTCTCTCCTCATGCAGCTCTATGACATGTTTCCCACTTTTCTGAAGTACTTCCCAGGGCCACATACCAGGGTCTATGACATTGTGTCAGATGCATTGCGCTTCATTGCCAAGAGAGTGCAGAAGAACCAAGAGACCCTTGACTCTAACTTCCCACGTGACTTTATTGATTGCTTCCTCATCCAGATGGAAAAGGTACCTTGTTGGTGTGTGAAGGCGGCAGCGGTGGAGGTGGTGGTGGTGGTGGTGGTGGGGTGGGAAGGTGGGGTGGGGTGGGGTGGGGGGGTCAGCCAGTGGTTCACCTTGGAATCATCATGTGATTACTTCATCTTTCCTACTTCCAGGAAAAAGGCAATCCACTTAGTGAATTTAATTTTAAGAATTTGGAGATGACCATCTTTACTCTGTTCTTTGCTGGAACAGAGACGGTTAGTTCGACCCTGAGATTTGGCTTCCTGTTTTTGATGAAATATCCCGAAGTGCAAGGTATTTTTGTTATTGTTGTTGTCATTTGGCTCACATTGGCAGGTTTAACCTTTATGGACTGAACTATTGGTTCTCTCTATGAAACTTTAGTTTGTCCTGGGCAACTTCATGATTTGCCAAAAAATTAAACATAGAATCATACTGGAGATTCCTACAGGGAATGCTTCTATGGGAATGTCTAGGTCAGGGGTCCTCAAACTAAGGCCCGGGGGCCGGATGCGGCCCTCCAAGGTCATTTACCCGGCCCTCACTCAGGGTCAACCTAAGTCTGAAACGACTTGAAAGCACAATCCTATCTCATCAGCCAAAAGTAGACCCACACTTCCCATTGAAATACTAATAATTTTATATTTGTTGAAATTGCTCTTCATTTTAATTATTGTATTAAGTGTTTTTTGTACTACAAATAAGATATGTGCAATATGCATAGGAATTCATTCATTTTTTTTTTTCAAATTATAATCCGGCCCTCCAACAGTTTGAGGGACTGTGACCTGGCCCTCTGTTCAAAAGGTTTGTGGACCCCTGGTCTAGGTCCTCAAGGATATTTTGAAGGCTAACTTCCAGCAACTTCATGGCTAAATTTCACCTTAACTACCACTTCTTCACACACATTTGAGTACAGTCAACTCTCTGTTCCCATGTGTTCTGCATCTGTGAATTTAGCCAACCATAGCTTTTAAGTATTGGCAGGGGGAGCAAACTTTGATTTGGCCACCTATGGACTACTGTGAGGATGTATAAGCAAACAATGACCTCACAGATAACTCACTCTCCTCAACATTTGTTTGCCCACTTATATTTGAAAATGTTTAGTGACCACAAGGAGGCATGCCAATAGCATGCTTTGTCATTTCAGAAATAACTGGAAGGTTCGAAAATGATTGAAAAGGTGCAAGGTATGAGGAAAACTAGATCATGGTGCCTTCTCCACCAGAGGATGTTGTGTTGGTCTTCCTACAATGAATGTCCAGAGATTTCATGCCTCTCTTTAGTCATCTTTGTAGTAAAATGTCATTTCCCTTTGAGAGTCAGAAACCCAAGGAATTAATTCTATGCATATACTTAACAGCAAGAGTGCATGAAGAAATTGATCGAGTGATTGGCCATAATTGCATCCCAAACAGTGAAGACCGGAGGCAGATGCCCTATACGGATGCTGTCATCCATGAAATACAGAGATTTGGCGATCTCGCACCTATGGGTGTGGCCCACATGGTTACTTCTGACACTGAATTCAGAGGATACTTCATCCCTAAGGTACAGTCGTGGAATAACCAGGAAAGATAAAGGGAGACCAGTTAACTTGAAACTGAGAGCAATAGTCAACATCACACCTTCCAATGTTTTAGGGGAGGAAAATGGGATACGTGCAGCCCAAGCAACATCAGAGTGTGGCCAAGATGGCCAAAGATGATTTGAGTTTGCAGCAACTGAAGTAAGCTGAGTGGGAGGATAATAGTGGAACTTGGGGGTTTCAAAAGCAGAAAATGTGTAGATGACAGACTTGTCCACGAGCGAAACTTATAGTTTAGCACAGGATGAGTACTTGTTTTTGAACCTGATTACCTGAAACTCAACTGTCACCAGGAAGAGCAAGATTTGAAATTGGGTTACTGGAATGCAGAAACAGGAAGTCCAACTGTCCAGTACATCTTGCAAAATGGCATGTGGCTAGCCATTGAGTATCTTACAGAGTTTGTGGTTAATGTGTTTTGCTGAGCCATGAAGTAGAGAGAGAAGTCAAGAATCGTGGCTCTCTGTGGGATATCCATTCCACTTTGGTTTAAACCACCTACAGGAATACCTAATATTGGTTATTGTCCTATAGATGATTTAGGGCAGTATATTAGAGGTATGAGATTTGTCAAAAACCCATCCTGTTTTTGGTCCCATTTTCAGTTGGCTCTCCATTTTGTTTACTGGGAAATTCCTGAAATCTAGAGGGGGGGGGGAATAAAATTCCATGATCAGTATCTGGTAACTCTGTTTTTGCACCAAAATGACTTGACCCATTGGCAGCAATGGAGGAACTATTGAGGGTCCTCTTTCCATCATTTCAATACTATCACAAAGAAAATGGCAGCACTTGGAGGACACATGCATGACTACAAGTCCTCCAAGCTTCAGAATGTTGATGTCATCCACTGCAGGATGCAGCTGCCATGTGCCCCATTATTGCCAGGGCTCCCTCCCCACTCTGACCTGGGATGTTGCTTGGGCTTCACGTATCCCATTTCCCCCCCGTAAAACATTGAAAATTGTATTGTGCACACCCTTATAGTATATACTAGTCTAGAACACTACTATCCACTTCCAAAGGTGGGAATTCTGTTCCATGACGGTAATGGTGGTGTCAAATTGCAGTGATTATATATTGCAGATGCACCCATTATGGGAACACGAATGTTAGTGAAGTTAGCCTAGGTCTTGTTATAATGCTGTTAGCCTTAAATCCAACAAATAAGTGAAGAGGCAATCAAACCAAGGTAGTCTGAAATGTTTTGTCATTTTCTCATAGGCTACTTGAATGAGACTTTTGAGCATGCAGAGGTTGCCACAGAGTTTAAGGTTCTGCTGCTCCCATTGTTGAATATTTGAAGTTCTGATCCTCATCCTTTTTTTGTAGGACAGTTAGGTTGTTTACTTATCTATTCCTGTTTTTTTTTAATGCCTCCACCTTTGACTGAACACAGATACACCCAAATGTTTTAAAGTGTTTACATAGTACAACTAAATGGCTCTCATGCTCTCTTCTGGGACTGCATTTTTGCCATTCTGAGCTCATAAATCTTTTCCCTCCCTTTCTCAGGGAATGGAGGTTTGCCCTGTGCTCAGCTCTGTTTTGCATGATCCCACAATGTTTAAAAACCCCAATGCTTTCAACCCAGAGAACTTCCTGGATGAGAATGGATACTTCAAGAAGAATGATGCCTTTGTGCCTTTCTCCTCAGGTAGAACTTTCTTAAACACACTAATGAGGAGAAGGATTGTATTCTTGCTTGTTATCTGGTTTGTTCAATGTATGTATAAGGGTATAAGGGTTAGGGTTCTTATATTAGCATTTCAAGATTTTAAAGCATTAGTTACCCATTTCATCTGCCTCCTTGGGCAATCTCTACCTGAGCAATTCACACTGATTGCAGTAGGCCCATGTAATATTTATTTTATTTATTTACTTACTGTATTTATATACTACCTTTCTCAGCCCGTAGGCGACTCAAGGTGGTTAACAGGGTAAAGTCAATATTTACAATACCATAAATATAATTAAAAACATAACATATAATAAAAACTAAACAAATCATAAATATAAATTCATAGTCTCTCTGTGTTAAAAACGTTGTCCGGTCTCATTGTTGTCATTCCATTTTCCTATGTCTGTTACTCTGCATTTGAACACGGTTGTTCAAAAAGCCACGTCTTGACTTTTTTCCAGAATGTTAAAAGGGAGGTGGCTGATATTTTCATTGTTACAAATTGAACATAATTAAAGCATAGTGATTAACCACCCAAACCATATGTTTTGGGGGTATGGACAACAGATGATGGGATTTGCAGTACCTTCAACTGATTCAGCTTTGACTTCCACAGACCACTGAGACCCCTACAAATAACCGATGTGGACCAAACTTGGCACACAGAACCTCCATAACCAACAGAAAATACTGGAGAGGTTTGGGAGGAATTGACACTGTTTTAATCATAATAGGATCCTAGAGTTGGAAGAGACCTCCGAGGGCCATCCAGTCCAACCCCCTTCTTCTGCCTTCATGCATAAATAAAGCATGAAGGCTTTATTTATTTATTTATTGAAAACATTTATTTATTGAAAACACCCCACCTCTCTACGTGGGGTTTGCCTTTGAAGACTGCTCGGAAGCTTCAAATGGTCCAGCGCTTGGCAGCCAGGTTGCTAACAGGAGCGGCACTCAAGGAGCAACAACTCCTTTGTTGTGCCAGCTCCACTGGCTGCCAGTTTGCTACCGGGCACAATTCAAAGTGCTGGCTTTAGCCTAAAAAACCCTAAATGGTTCTGGCTCTACTTACCTCTCCAAACGCATCTCCTCCTATGAACCGACTAGGACACTAAGATCATCTGGGGAGGCCCTGCTCTCTGTCCCGCCTGCATCACAGGCGCGCTTGGCGGGGACGAGAGACAGGGCCTTCTCAGTGGTGGCCCCTCGGCTGTGGAACGCCCTGCCTGCAGATATCAGATTGGCCCCCTCCCTGCTGGCGTTTCGGAGGAAAGTGAAGACCTGGCTGTTCGAACAAGCATTGATTAAACAGTGTAATTGAACATAGGAATACGGAATAATGGATGACGAGACTGGATACTGTTGAGGCGCTAATGATTGTTATACTGATGTTAATGATTTATGTGATAATTGTTTTTAATTGCCCTCTACTGGTTTTGTGATGTTTTGTATTGATGTTGTTCACCACTTTGAGTCGCCTGAGGGCTGAGAAAAGCGGTATAGAAATAAAGTAATTGAATAAATAAATAAATTTATATTCTGTCCTTCTTACCCCAAAGGGGACTCAAATGTCCAAGAAGGGTGGAAGGAAGGAAGGGCTCTACTCTGGCAGCACCTCCTATCCTACTTTCCTTGAATTTCAGTCAAGGAGGAAGGAGGAGGAGGTTGGCAGCTGGCGGGGCTTTGTTTCTCCAGTGAAGCGGTGAGGGCAAAGGGCAAGAGTGGCTTCAGCACATGAGGACATAGGCAGCCCCATGAGCCGGCTTGCAGACAGCCTCCTCAGCCCCAGGCCCCAGGCCAGAAGCTGCAGTGGAGGCAGGAGCAACGCTTCATGGAGACTGGTCTGGAGGCACAGGCTGCTTCGTTCCCATAAGGGAGCTCTTAGTGAGGGAAGTGCCAGTCAGCTTTCTCTCTCTCTCTCCTTCCCTCAACCCACCAGCCTCCAGCATGAGGAGGAGGGGAGACACCCACTTCATCCACTGGCCAATCGACTCTAATGGCTTCCTCTCCACAGCTGGTAGCCATGCTGTGGAGGTGGAGTAGGCGGGGCCAAAGGAGGTGGTGCTGCGACCCCTCCCAAATTACTCATTGACCCCTTGAGGCGTCACAACCCCCAGGTTAAGAACTGCTGCAGTAAACATATGAATGAGAAGGATTATAATTTTGTTTAATATTAGCTGGTTTGTTTAGTATGTGTGTAAGGGTTATGGTCCTTCTCATGTACTCTGTGGATTGCATTCCAAGATTTTAAAGCATTAGTTGCCCATTTCATCTGCCTTCCTGGGCAATGTCTAATCTCTGTTCTGTGTATTTTAATATGTATTTATAATACATTTTAATATGTATCTTTGATTAAAATACATTTTAATATGTGTATCTATAGAAATTTTACTATGTTTATGTTTTAAGTTATTCTGTAATCCCAGCTTGACTCACAAGAAAAGGAGGCTAAAAATCTTCATCCTCCTCCTCCTCCTCCTCCTCATCTCTACTTGAGCAATCCACATTGTTTGCAATAGGGCCATGTATTATGCGGGTTCCATTCCAGGATCTTAATGTAAGGTGTTTTTTTTTTTGTATAATATGGAATCCTGGTTTTCTTACATGAAATGAATAATGTCTCGGACTTCTAGCTGAAGCATATAATGACTTCTGGACTTCTTGATGCCTGGGTAGGGAAAAGGTCATGGTGGCCAGGGCTGGCTGGCCTCTTGGAAAGATTAGTATATTCCCTTGCTATACAGAATGACTCTTGACTAATGCAGGGGTCATATAAAAATCCATAATTTGTGCCTCCAAACTTGACATTGACTTATACAAGAGGTTGACTTGTACATTAGTGTGTATGGTAGATATGAAGACAATGAGGTGATTGGTTGGAAAGTACATAAAAGACCAAAGACACTATGAACAAGGTAAGGGGACATGGAAGAGGTTGCATCTCATGAGTCATCTGATCAGAAAAGTTGGGTGCATCTCTTCTCATGTCCTGACAAATTCTTCTTTTTCTTTCAGGGAAACGGATTTGTCTGGGTGAATCACTGGCCCGCGTGGAGCTTTTCCTCTTCTTCACCACCATCCTGCAGAGTTTCCAATTGAAGCCCCTTGTGGCTGCAGAAGACCTTGACCCAACTCCGCTGGAGAATGGCTTTATCAATGTCCCACCTATTTATCATCTCTCTGTCATCCCACGTTGACCCCAAGATCTCTTTCTTCTTCATCTTGGGGCTGTTGTATAATCTGCATTCTTAAATTTCATGGGGAGATAGAAGGGCAATTATTCTGATCACTGACTCCGCCACACAGAGGAGATTTAGAATTAATGACAGCAACATTATCAACAACAATGGTTTCCATATTTCAAACCCAGATGAGGTCTTGTTGTACTGGGGTACTAGTGAAATCCCAGCGGGGTAACAGCGATACCTTTGACCCATTCCAACATTTTCTATCTCCTGAAAAATCCTGGACCAAACTTGGCAGGAATACTTAATATGCCCAAATGTGAACACTGGTGGAGTTTGGGGGAAAATAGACCTTGACATTTGGGAGTTGTAGTTGCTGGGATGTATAGTTCACCTACAATCAAAGAGCATTCTGAACCCCACCAACGATAGAATTGAACCAATCTTCCCACACAGAACCCTCATGACCAACAGAAAACACTGTATTTTCTGATGGTCTTTGGAGGCCCCTCTGACACCTCCTCATGACCCCCTCAGGGGTCCCGACCCCCAGACTGAGAAACACTGGTCTATCAAGTTTTATATTAACAGGAAATCTTTTAGCCAAATCCCAGCATATACTAAGGGTCTAGTGGCTCAACTCCACATTTATTGGTCAGTACCTGATTAATAGTTCCAAATTCAGCTGTTTCCTGAACATCAGAACACAGAGAAGAGAAGACTGGAATAGGAAACAGATAGGGATCCTGAGTATGAACCAGCAATAAATGCATAATTCTAGATTAATTACATTAGTGATTTTATCTTGAATTGTGCTTTGTAAGGTATGAACTGATGATATACAAGCACTTTCCAAGAGTAGCATATGTTTCCTTTTCAGTCTATAAGATCAATGTTTTCAAAGGAATTGGATGCTCATCTACTCTAAGAGTGGCACAGGATATATTCCTTAGCCCTCAGCCTCAAATTGCCAGCACTACTACAGTACAAATTGCCATTCGTTTTTGATACCATGCCATCATTATATAAGGCACCATCCTTGTGGCTTGGAGAAATTTGTTATGGACGTGACAGCTAATGTAAGAAATTGCTTGTTGCTGAAATTTGTCTTTGGTTATTGATCTTGGAAGCCATCTTAGATCTTTCTCCAGGAAAAGATGGCATAGTAAGTAAGTAAGTAAGTAAGTAAGTAAATAAGTAAGTAAATGTTATACCACATTGTCTTTTTGTATAAAAGTAGGATTGGATATTCCCTTTTCAGTCTCCAGACTGTCAGTAATTCAACTTACATGTTAAACATTTGGAGGCATTGTTACTTTACTAGTTAGATTTTTGATGATCTTTGACAACTGATACGTTTCACTAATAACTGATCTTTGTCTGCCATGAATTGGTTGTCCTGTATTCATTGGTTGTCTGCATAGCAGGATTCATAAGTTGCAGGGAGGAAAATCCAGAACAATCGGGTTATGTTACATATCTCAGATATAGCAGAATGCTGTATGACAACATATTTGCAGAAGACTGAAAATACCCTTGAGTTATGTGCCAAGTTTTAAGTTTATCAACAATTTTGAATGGGACTTGGATACTTTCTTATGTGAATGCTGATGTGTCTCCAAAACAATGCAGTGCAGATTCAATAAAGGCTCTGAAAGAGTATAAATCTGGATGAGCAGAGTTTTAATGTACTCTAGGGTTACATTGTGGTGTTGGATCTTCATTCTTAAAATCCATGAAATATAATCCTTTTATCTGCAGTAGCTATGAACTGTGACTCTATATGTCCTCTGGATCCAACAGCCACAGTATTGGGTAACCAAGGAAGAGCTGAGTGAATTTGACTTACATCTCATAAGCAGAGCATTCAACACATTTGCTTCTGGACCACTACATCCTACTAAAGGAACCAACTATTGATAAAATACATGGAAGTGAATTAGAGTGGATATGTAACCACAAGACCCATACCTTGAAGTTGGCTGGTGCAGTTATCTTCTTTTTTGTCATCTACCTTAGATATTTTGTACACATTCCTTCATTTCAAATATCTGATTCTTCTTGTTTAGACTTCCAACATTTATTATAGCGTTTAAGCACTTCAGCCAATTTAGATGGGGTCAATTGTACTTCCATACATTCTCACAGTTTTTCCAGAACCATCATGACATCATCTACATATGTTTTCAATTCATACATTGATACATCCGTCCACTCCATTCCCCTGCTGTGAAGGAATAAACAATGTTTACCTGAGTTCCAAGAATTAGTAGTCAGTATGATTGATTCCTGCTTGCTCTTACTGTTGACTTGTGCTTCAGGTCTGTTCAGTTATGAAACACAGAAGGCGGTGCCTAACCAACCCCAATAAAAGACCACAAAGCTTCAGCTGTATGGGGCCGGTATCTGCACTCTTCCACAAGAAAAAGACAGTTGACAACAAGTAACATGGAATGGGGTGGTGCAGTCATCCTTCTCCTTGTTTTCTTTTTTTCTTGCCATTTGCTCATATTTTCAAAGAGGAAACGATTGCACAAGGGGAAACCCCCTCCAGGACCTACTCCCCTGCCCCTGATTGGGAATTTCCTGCAGATGAAGTCATCTGAAATCTTAAAATCTCTTCTCAAGGTATGGACTCTTTTTCAGACTCTTTCAGGGGTGCTTTGAATGCGATTTTTCCTGCTTCTTGGCAGGAGGTTGGACTGGATGGCCTACGAGATCTCTTCCAACTGTATGATTCTATGGTGCTTATGGGAAAGAAGATCTGCTAACTGTTGGGTCGAATGATTAGAAAGGATTGCTGATGGTACTTCTTGTGTATATGTATAACTGCTGAAAGGAACACTGGAAGCCATCCTTTTCTTCTTTGTCCGTTTCTTTGCTTTCTTCTTTCTTTTCATCTTTTATTGCATGGATATAATCTGTAATGAAGAAAATTGAAAAAAATGTCTTCTCAAAGTAAACCCTAATTGATATTCTTTCACAAACACAAAAATATTATCTTCCATACCCCCTGTCTCTCTGTGTGTCAGTTGATGATGGGACTTACATACACCCTAAAGGACACCAGGCAGCCAAAATGCTATTCTTGTCTGGATTAGTTTCTAGGATTTATAGTTTGATATTATATTAATTGCTATGGCTTCAAGAAAAAGTGAAAGAAATATATGATAAATAAATTGATAAAGGATAATAAAAGCATAAGGGAGATATTTGCAGATTTCTATCAGAAATTATATAAAGGAGAAAAAAAATATACCATGTGAAGATTGGATGAGGAAAAAATAGGAGAGGAGGAAAAAACAAACAAATACAGAGCAAAATATCATATCAAGAGATTGAGAAAGTAATAGACAATCTTAAAAAAGGAAAATCACCAGGAAACGAAGGATTTACTGCAGAATTTTATAAACAAATGAAAGAGGTTCTTATTCCAGAATTAGCTATAATTTTTAATAATATAATAAAAGAGGGAGAAGTACCGGAGTCCTGGAGAGAAGCAGAAATAATAACAATACTCAAACCAGGGAAGAATCCAAGAGAAGTGAATTCATATAGACCAATTAGCTTATTAAATCAAGATTACAAAATATTTGCAAAAAAATTAGCAAATAGATTAAAGGATATATTACCAAAAGTGATAGGGGATGATCAATACGGATTTATTAAGGGAAGAAATATAAGCCACCCACTGAGGAATTTGATCAACGTTATTGCCCAGAAAAGTAAAAAAAGTTATGCGTTTATCAAACTAGATGTATATAAAGCACTTGATACAGTTAACCACAATTTCTTATTTAAAAGAATGGATAATTTTGGAATAGGCAAGGAATTTATTGAAGCCATAAATGAAATATATAAAAAGGGGAAGGCAAACGTGAAAGTAAATAGGGGATATACTAGAGAAATAGTTATAGAAAGAGGGGTCAAGCAGGGATGCCCGCTATCCCCAATACTATTTACACTAGCTATAGAGTATTTAGCGGACAGAATAAGAAATAATGGTAGAATAATGGGATATAGAATAGGAAATGAGGCAGTAAAAGTAAATTTGTTTGCCGATGAGTTATTGATAATTACAGAAAACCCATTAGAATCATTAAAAGAATTGGAAATAATATTAGCAGACTTTTACAAATTTTCAGGACTAAAGATTAATATAACAAAATCAGAATTTCTGGGTTTCAATTTGGGAAAAAGATTGCTAGAGTGCTCTAGTGATCACAAACGGCATTAATTCTACATGGTGGAGTGCATAAAACATTTTTCATACAAAAAAACAAAACAAGAAACATAACGTTCATGCAAAAATCACATTTTCCACATATCTACATTGGTTGGTGGCAGAAATATTGTGCAGAAACATGCAATTTCTGCACAATATACCTTTGATTGTAAAATGCACACTAGTTTCTCTACAATCAACAGGAAAAATCAGCTCTTTTAGAAATGATGGAGAACATCAGAAAGTATAATAGCAAAACTCTGCGCTGATTCAGTGTACAGTGTTCCCTCACTACTTTGCGGTTTGCTTTTAGCAGACTTGCTGTTTCGCGGGTTTTTGAAAATATTAATATAAAATATAAAATATTTATGTCCAGTGGAGGCCAGGGACCCCGGAAGTGCGGCAGCCTGAGGTGCAGCGGGGGTGGCCTGCCTCCCTGGCTTGCTGCTGCCTGCGTGGCTCCGAAGGCTCTGCAGGGGTCTGTGGAGGCCAGGGAGGCAGGCAGGCGCCCTTGGGATGGGCTGGGAGGAGGGTAAGGAAGCATGGGTAAGAAAATAATATATAAAATCTATATAAATAAAAATGTAATGTTCATTTGTGGGATTAACCTAACTCAAAAACCACTGTGTGAATTGACACCAAATTTGGACACAATACACCTATCGGGCCAACAAGTGACCATCACTCATAAAAACACTGAAAAACACAGTAGAAGACACTTAAAAAGCCCAACATTACAAAATATATTACAACACATGTGCAACCCCCCTTCCCCATATATATATATGCAAACACACATAAGTACACACATACATAAATATTAGGCCTGTGCGGTTTTGTTCATTAATTCGTTAATTCGTTAATAATTCATTAATTTTACCATTTCCGAAGCGATATTGAAACATATCTCCAAACCCAGAAGGGTTTATAAATATCGAACCAGCAGCCCCCATAGTTTTAACGAGCCTCCGCTCGTTTCGTTAATGGGGTGGAGGCTGCTGGAGTGCTGGTGCATGGGAGCCAATCCGGCGCTCCCAAGCAGTGCACCATGGGTCCGTGGCTGTCTCTTTTTGATTGGCCGGCGAGCCCTTTCAAAGCGGCTCCGCGCAGCCCGTAGCTTGCTGCAGAGGGCGAGGGAGTTTGCATTGGGTTGGCTTGGCAATGGCTGCCTGCTAGCAACTGCCTGCTAGCAAATTCGTTAATATTTACAAAATTTCTTAAATACCAAAACTTTTTTTTGGAAAGTTTTGTAATTATTTTAAATATCGAAACAAAAAAACACCCCAATTACAAATCGATTTTAGAAACAAATTTTTTCTTGATCAAACAGGCCTATACACACAGAAAACACATATACACAGACTGGGCCACAGCAATGCGTGGCAGGGGATGGCTAGTAATGTATAAATATTAAAATTAATATGGTGTCCCTACTTCGTCGATTTTCACTTATTGCAGGTGGTCCTGGAACGGACCCTCGCAATAAGCAAGGGAACACTGTACTCTGAAATGTCCTCTTGTTTCCAAATGTGTAAGATTAACCCATTTCAAAGGACACCATTACAAAAGGTTGGCCTAAACCAAAGGAGTGTGTAGACATATTGGTTGATTTCCTCTACAGCTACATGAAAAATATGGCCCTGTTTTCACCGTCTATTTTGGATCACGCCCGGTTCTGGTCTTATGTGGACACCAAGCTGTGAAAGAAGCCCTGATAGACAAGGCAGAAGAGTTCAGTGGAAGAGTTTGCATGCCTTCAATGGTGCCTACTTTCCAAGGATATGGTGAGGTATCCCAGTTACATTTACAACAATGGTTCCACTCTTGTTTCTGCTTGCCATGTCATTTCTCTCCTGTTTCCTTCAGGAGTGGGCTTTGCCAATGGAGAACGCTGGAAGGAACTGCGACGATTCTCCCTTGCTGTCTTGAGAAGTTTTGGAATGGGGAAAAAGTCTATTGAACACCGAATTCAAGAGGAAGCTCAATTCCTGGTGGAGGAATTTCGGAAGACAAAGGGTAAGAGAGGTGTCAAAGACAGGTTGAACTCATGTTGTTCAGTGAAAGTACTGTGACCACTAAAGCAAGAGGGATAACAGGTCCCTTTGCCCAACAATTAGTCTGCACTGTGTGCATTGGGTCGTATTCTTGGCACCAGAAGGACTATCTGTGGACTGCTTCTTCATTCATTCTCTTTGCTGTGTTGTAGAAAAGCCGTTTGAGCCTACCACCCTCCTCAGCCATGCGTTCACCAACATCATTTGCTCCATTGTTTTTGGGAACCGATTTGACTATAAGGATAAGGAATTTCATGCCCTCTTGGTGATGCTAAATGAATTCTTCTTGGAAATGAGCTCCTCCTGGGCCCAGGTACTCCTTTTGCAATAACGATCAGTTTTAGTTATTATACAACCATCTGCCATAATCTCTCCCCTGATTTTTCCTCCATTCTTCATTTCTCGCCTACTTAGATATTCGTTTCACATATTCAGTCCCAAATCCCTGTACTTTTATGATCCCATCCCCAATCCAGGTGGTTTCTCTTCTTTTGTTATCCACAAAGACAATCTTTATACATAACTGTTCCTTCTCTATCCCCCACTTTCCTGCAGTATTTTTCTTTCTCTGTTGTCTTCGTGTCTCTCCAGCTTCCATCTCTGTCCACACCAGTTCTTAACAGGTTCAAAGCTTGTAGACAAGAAATCTGCTATTTGTGAAGAGCTCATATTTCTTGTTGTGGGAAAGCGAGTCACTCTCCATTTGTTTTCACTACAAGGATTCTGATTCTCTGGGAACAGATTTCCAGGCATGTTATGGGTTTGCTTGCAGAAGACTGGATGAAAAATTATCTGTAAACATAAAGAAAAAAATGAATGACTCTTGCATTTTCAAAAATGTTATGTTTTATTTCATGTCAAAAACATTGCATAAATAAATAAATTTAAAATTGATAAAATAAAGGGATCAAAAGCAGCTAAATGGTTTTAAACCAAAAACAGGCAACAGTGACTGCATTGTCTGTAGCTTTAAATACTTCTTCCTCTGTGCATGAGGCAAGCATACAGATTGCGGAGTTGTTTGTTCTGCTCCACAGTCGCACAAAGTGGAGGGTTTTCTAGATCAGTGGTTCTTAACCTGTAGGTCCCCAGGTGTTTTGGCCTACAACTCCCAGAAATCCCAGCCAGTTTATCAGCTGTTAGGATTTCTGGGAGTTGAAGGCCAAAAACATCTGGGGACCCCAGGTTGAGAACCACTGTTCTAGATAGTGCCATTTTGCTAGGTTGTCTTTTGGTCTACCAATTCTTGTTTACAGGGACTTCCAAGTTGCCCATTCTTGGTTTGCCCCTGGAGGAAGACCTTCGTGTGTGTGTGTGTGTGTGTGTGTGTATGGGGGGGGGGGCATCCAGTTGGAAATTGCCTGATTTTGCTGCCCACAGGGATATTCTTGCATTTGCTGGGGGAACATTAGGAGGAGTGGTGATTCTCATGAAACTTTTACTTGATTTAAGTCTACTGGGAGGAGTCCGATAGCCATACAGTGAGTGGCTTTCACAGTGTTCAACCTTATTTCTCTCTCTTATGTTAACCTATTATATGAACACCACAGTTCAAGAAGGATATGGGCAAGCTAGAATGTGTGCAGAGAAGGACCACCAAAAAGATCAAAGGTCTGGAAGTCAAGCTCTATGAGGTGCAGCTTACGGAGCTGAATATGTTTAGTTTTGAGAAAAGGAGGGTGATTGGCAATATGACAACAACACTTAAATATTTGAAAGGGTGAAACACTGAGGAGGGGCAAGCTTGTTTCCTGCTGGTATAGACACTAGAACACAATGAAGCAATGTCTTCAAATGACAAGGAAAAGATATTCCACCTAAACATTAGGAAGAATTTTCTGATGGTAAGAGCTGTTTGTCAATTGAATACACTGCCTTGGAGTTTGGTGGAGTCTCCTTCTCTGGGGGTTTTAATCAGAGTCTTGATGGTCAACTGTCAGGGTTTTTTTGATTTGTGTTCCAACATAGCAGGAGGTTGGACTGGGTGACCCTTGGAGTTTCTCCCACCTCCACTATTCTGCATCACGCCCTTGCTACTATTAGATCTTTACTATGTTGTAAAATAAAAATCCAGACATTTAAAATTCATGGCATCCAAAACTTTTTTCATATGTTTTGAACTTCTGCTTTCCTATCTCTGGTTCCTTGCTCCCCTGCTTTTGCATCTCCACATCTAGGTCTCTTCACTGCTTCACTCTACACCTACACCTCTTGTACCAGTAATAGTTGACTGTTTGCAAATGATGTTTGAAGTCACAATGTCCCAGTCATTAAACTTGGGTGGTTCACTCTACACTCTACACCTCTTGTACCAGCAATAGTTGACTGTTTGCAAATGATGTTTGAAGTCACAATATCCCAGTCATTAAACTTGGGTGGTTCACATATGTTGGGGGATGATTGGGGTATCTTTGGTTCATCCTACTTAGAACAAAACAGAGGCCTTAGATGTTCCCTTTGTTACTAGCACCAGAAATCCCTTCAAGCCAAACTAAGGGATTGCGGTTGATGCTTTGGCAGAAAATGGCATCTAACCCATTTAGCATGGCCTCTCTCTTTATGTAGTTCTATGACATCTATGCCAACTACCTCAAGTACATTCCGGGACTCTACAGTAAGTTCTATGATTCCAAGGATTTGAAGCTCTTCGTTGCCAAGAGAATCAAGAAAAATCAAGAGACTCTTGACCACAACGTCCCACGTGACTTTATTGATTGCTTCCTCATCCAGATGGAAAAGGTACTTTGTTGGTGTATGAAGGTGCATGAAGTGTCCTGAACTGAGGGGATTATTCCTTGTCACTTACAGAAATGAAATAAGAAACCTTTAATCTATCATACTTCCTTCTAATTGGATGCAGAGTAGAATAGAAAATGAGAACTGATACCACAAAGTAGAAAGCATGCATGGAGTCCAAGGAGAGCTTTTGCAAGATGTAGTATCATGTTTGGTGGGGAGAAGGCCTTCTCAGTAGCTACTTCAAAGCTTGGAAACTTCCTTCATAGGGAGCAAAGGTGGCTCCTTGATTATTTTAATTTCATATATTGTTTGCTTTAAAAAAAAACCCTGTCCCATAGTAAAGGACTGTATGGTAAAATGGACAGCCAATATTGGCCATACAATAATATTGGACGATTGGGAAAAAATGTGGACAAGGAAAATAAAACTCACTTGTTCATATGATATCCAGGAAAACTGGTATAAAATATTTTTCTGGTGGTATACAACACCAGTTAAACTTTGAAAATGTTATAAAAATACCAATGAAAAGTGCTGGAATTGTGAAAAAGAAAGGGGAACATCTCACCACATGTGGTGGAGCTGTGAAACAGCTAATAAATATTGGGGGGAGATAAACAAAGCAACTCAAGCAATCCTTGAAACAAAATTTCAATTTAAATCAGAATATTTCCTTCTGGGTATTTTAGATCTAGACTGAGACAGAAACAAAGAGGCATTATTTAGCTATTTAGTATCAGCAGCTAGAATAGTATATGTGTATTATTGGAGGGTAAAAGAAACCCCTAGGAATGGTAGAATAATATATGTGCATTATTGGAGGAAAAAAGAAACCCCTAGTCTAAAGGAATGGTTAATCAAAATGATAGAAATGAGAAATATAGACAGCTTGACACAACAACTTAGATACAAACAAAATAAAACTGTAGTAGATTGGAATTTATTAACAAAATTTATGGAAGAAGAAAAAAATGGAAATTTTGATATAAATGTTGGAGGGAGAAGAGCATCTTTCCCTATAACCTTTGATGAAGAAGAAGATACAGAACACAAGAAGTGTGGAAAGGAGAAGATGTAACTCAGATTTGAGAAGATGGGAAGCCAAAAAGCCCCTACCCTCCCTTCTTTCCCTGGACCCCCCTTTCACTTCCACTATTATCCACCCCCCCTTTTTTTCCAGATTCCCTTCCCGACACCCCCTAATCCTCCCCTTTACCTATTTATTTATTYATTTCCTATATTTATACTCTGCCCTTCTCCTCCCGAAGGGGACTCAGGGCGGCCTAATGCTAGCATCATAAAAACAATCACAGTACAATCAAAATATTAAAAATTAAAACAACAATTAAAACAATTAATTAAGACACATCCATAAAAATCGAAATCCAAAATCCAGTCTGRGTCAATTCATTGCCATWAGTTGTGTGATTTTYTTCCACTGATCAAATGCTTGGTCCCAGAACCAAGTCTTGATTTTCCTTCTAAAAGACAAGAGGGAGGTGGTCAATCTGATAAATCTAGGGAGGGTGTTCCATAGGTTGGGGGGGGGGCAATCTCCAACTCTTCCATCTTCCCTTGATACCCCCCCCCTTTTTATGTAAATGAAAAACTTTTCAATAAAAAGACTTTTAAAACTGTCACATAGACAGGGAGCTGTTTTGATCTGAGCCCTTTGAATGACATGGCATCGGAACAGGAGTCGTCTTTCCGATTGTTACAACTTCTCTTTCAGAAGGGACCGGGCAGAAATGTCATTCTGAGCCCCAATTAAATTCAGAATAGACCTCCATTTCTTGGAGTATCTTCTGCTTAGTAAAGTAGAGGAAGAGGGGCATTGTGAATATGGAGTCATTATGGACCCAAAACCCTCAGTTAAGAATCTATAACTGGAGTACAGAATGCCAGCCTGTATTTTCCATTCTTTGCATCTGAAACACAGATGAGAAACCAGGCTCTAATGAAGCAGGATTATATGACTTGTCTAGTTTCAGTCTAGGACAGAATGTCCTTTCCCATTCAACCTGCCAGTGGTTTTTATTCAAATTGTCTCATGATGTGTTGTTCTTCCCTACTTTCAGGAAAAAGACAATCCAGGAAGTGAATATAATATCAAGAACTTGCAGCTCAGCATTCTTAATCTGATTCTTGGTGGATCAGAGACAGGCAGTTGCACTCTGAAATATGGTTTCTTGTTTCTGATGAAATATCCTGAAGTGCAAGGTATTGTTGTTGTTGATGTTGTTGTTGCTGCTATTGCTGCTACACTGACAGTTAGCTCAAATTGGCAGGTTGAATCTTTGCCAGAAGTAGATCATAGGGTCATCCCGGCGCCCCCGGTGGCGCAGTGGGTTAAACCCCTGTGTTGGCAGGACTGAAGACCGACAGGTCGCAGGTTCGAATCTGGGGAGAGGCGGATGAGCTCCCTCTATCAGCTCCAGCTTCTCATGCGGGGACATGAGAGAAGCCTCCCACAAGGATGATAAAACATCAAAATCATCCGGGCGTCCCCTGGGCAACGTCCTTGCAGACAGCCAATTCTCTCACACCAGTTTCAAGTCACTCCTGACACGACAAAAAAAATAATAATCCTGGAAGACTTAGAGATCCCTAGAGATCATACATCTATTCGACTCTATAGATCAGCATTTCTCAACCTGGGGGTCGGGACCCCTGGGGGGTCGCGAGGGGCTGTCAGAAGGGTCGCCAATAGTCATCAGAAAATACAGTATTTTCTGTTGATTATGGGGATTCTGTGTGAAAAGTCTTGCCCAATTCTATCGTTGTTGGGGTTCAGAATGCTCTTGGATTGTTGGTGAACTTTAAATCCCAACAACTACAAATCCTAAATGTCAAGGTCTATTTTACTCAAAATCCACCAGTGTTCACATTTGGGCATATTGAGTATCCGTGCCATGTTTGGTCCAGATCCTTCATTGTTTGAGTACACAGTGCTGTCTGGATGCCCACCAAAACCTTCCAGTATTTTCTCTTGGTCATGAGAATTTTGTGTGTCATGTTTGGTTCAATTCCATCACTGGTGGAGTTCAGAATGCTCTTTGCTTGTAGGTGAACTGTAAATCCCAGCAACTAAAACTCCCAAATGACAAAATCAATCTCCCCAACTCACCAGTATTCAAATTTGGGCGTATCAGATATTTGTTCCAAAATTTGGTCCAGTGAATGAAAATACATCCTGCATATCAGATATTTACAATATAATTCATAACAGTAGCAAAATTACTGTTATGAAATAGCAACGAAAATAATGTTATAGTTGGGGATCACCACAATATGAGGAACTGTGTTAAGGGGTTGCGGCATTAGGAAACACTACTCTAGATCCTCCAGGGGAAATTTATGGTTAGCTTCTGGTCAATTCTATGGTCAGATTTCACCCTGTATTCCTCTTTTCCACACTCATTTGAGGACAGTCAGCCCTCTATAACCATGGGTTCTGCATCTAGGGGGTTTAGCCAATCATGGCTTAAAATATTTAAGGGAAAGGAAATCTTGATGCCAAGTCTCCCACCATTTCACAGATCCCCATTCTCTCTCCATTTTGTATTGTTTGCCATTTTGTATATAGAATGCCATTTTCCTATGCCACTCTCGATTGTGGGACCTCAGCATCTAAGTATCCTGGGGGGAAAAAACTTGAACACTAAGGGCCCACAGAACTAAAAATATTTGACATCAGCATTTTTTGACTATGTGACCTGAAGCAGGTACTCAGAAAAGATGGGAGGGTATTATCATGCAACGGGAGAAACAAAAAAAGTCAGATAGTTCTCATTCTCATACTTTTAACAGCAAAAGTGCATGAAGAAATTGATCAAGTGATTGGCCATGATCGTGTCCCAAACACTGAAGACCGGAGGCAGATGCCCTATACAGATGCTGTTATCCATGAAGTGCAGAGATGCAGTGATGTCCTTCCTATGAATGTGGCCCATATGGTTACTTGTGACACTGAATTCCGAGGATACCTAATCCCTAAGGTATAAGAGGGGTTTTTTTTAATTACAGAAAAAGTTATCTAAGTGCAGAGCCAAGCTCGGATAAACCCAAATGTCCCACCACCTTTATATAGAGCACCAAAATGGAGCTGATGGATCAGGAGTGCATAGAAGAATGCTACGCAAGATGTTCTGTTCTGGAACTTTATTTTGCCATTCTGAACTCATAACTCTTTCCCTTCCCAGGGGATGACAGTCTACCCAATACTCAGCACTGTCTTGCATGACCCTACAATGTTTAAAAGCCCCAATGCTTTCAACCCAGAAAACTTCTTGGATGAGAATGGACGTTTCAAGAAGAATGATGCCTTTGTGCCTTTCTCCTCAGGTAGAACTCTCCTAAAAACTCCAATGAGGAGATGGATCACATCCACATTTTGCTTGATATCCCATGCTTGCTTTTAAAGCTTGTGACCTTTTGTGTTTTTAAGCTTCCTTATTCTCCCACAACAAACATGAAAAATTATGTAAGGTTTAAGAGTCTCCTCATATACTCCATAGACTGCATTTCATGATTTTATAGCATTAGTTGTACATGTCTTTTGTTTCCTTGGGCAATCTCTATTTTTTATAGTGCTTAGAATAGATCAGTGGAGATTTCTTCCAGGAATTTCATGTAATGTGATTTTTGTGCATAATCAGAAAATCTGTTGTGTTTTTGAAAGTAGTCTTCATAAACTGTATTTGGATTTAGAGATATAAGTGTGTAAAAAGGTAAGGTAAAGGTTTTCCCCTGACATTATGTCCAGTCGTGTCCAACTCTGGGGTGTAGTGCTCACCTCCATTTCTAAGCCTAAGAGCCAACGTTGTCCATAGACAACTCCAAGGACATGTGGCCGGCATCACTGCATGGAGCACCCTTACCTTCCCGCCGGTACGGTACCTATTGATCTACTCACATTTGCATGTTTCCGAACTGCTAGGTTGGCAGAAGCTGGGGCTGATAGCGGGAGCTCACGCCGCTCCCTGGATTAGAATCTGTGACCTTTCAATCAACAAGCTCAGCAGCCCAGCACTTTAACCCACTGTGCCACCAGGGTCTCCCCGGTGTGTAGGATTCCCCAAATGAACAACGAGACCATCCACAAATTCATAGCAAGGTGGAGACGAGGGACATCTTTTAGAAGTAGATATAAGACAATGAGATGGTTGGTTGGAAGGGAAAGACCACAAAAAGTCAAAGGCCCTTCTACACCGCCATATAAAATCCAGATTATCTGCTTTAAACTGGATTATATGGCAGTGTAGACTCATAGAATCCAGTTCAAAGTAGATAATGTGGAATAACTGTTTTGATAATCTGGATTATATGGCAGTGTAGAATGGGCCAAAGATGCTATGGAAAAGAAAAGGGGACTAGAGGTGTAAAGACTATTTGGTTGCATATCAGGAGGTATCTGATCAGAAATCTGGATGTGTCTCTCCTTGCCTCCAGACAAATTCTGGTATTTTTCTTTTCCAGGGAAACGGAACTGCTTGGGTGAAGCCTTGGCCCGCATGGAGCTTTTCCTCTTCTTCACCACCATCCTGCAGAGTTTTCAATTGAAGTCCCCTATGCCTCCTGAAGATATTGATCTCACTCCTCAGGAAAGTGGCCTTGCCAACATCCCACCCTTTTACCAGGTCTCCATCGTCCCACGCTGACCCTGAGGTCCCTTTTTCCGGGAGCATCCAAACAGCACCTAAAATGTGTGCCCTCTCGTGTTTTCTCCTGGGCTGGACAGATGATATCTCCGGGAAAAATGAATAGTTTCAGCACAAAGCAGGAAAACCCTGCTTTTTTCAGAATTAATTTGATACTGGAAAGACCAGGTCTTCCCGAAAGACCCAGGTCAAATCCAGCATGAAGGCTGTCTCGATGGCCCCCTTGGAAGTTCTGCAACTTCTGAGGGGGCCATCCACACAGCCTTCTCACAAGAGGGCTCTATCCCCCTCCCCCAAACCCTTTAAAAACGGGGGGGGGGGGGGGGTAAAATAACTTACCTGGCCACCATTAAAGTCCTGTCGGCCCTCTCCTGGCATGTAAGAATGATGCACCAGGAGAAAGGGGGGAAGAGGAAAATCACTCCTGCCACTCCTCCTGTCATTCTATGCACCAGGAGAGGGCCGGCAGCCCTCACATTTCCCCCACCATTTTAAGGGGTTTTGGAAAGGGGTGTGAGTCTCTCCCTGTCCTCCTGAAAGCATGCACTTTTTGAGGCATGTGCAGACCAGAACCCGGGCAAAATTGTGTTTTCAAAATGTGATTTCTCCTGGGTTAAAGGGCTGTGTGGTGCCACCCTCCTCTGCCAGGGAATTTTGCAGAAGCTGCATTAGCAGGCTCCACAACGAGAAGGAAGTGGATTTTCTCTGTTTTCTGGCTCTCATAAAAAGGGCTGTTTTTTAAAGAAAATAAAATAAAATAAAGGAAGGTATGGCTTCTGGATTCTACCCCCTTGTTAAGACATGTTGTCCAGAGGTACTATTTTATTCCCAGGTGGGTAACAGGGATGCTTTTCTAGCACTCCTCCTATTTCCTGAAAAATCACAAGATGGTGAATGCCTCTTAATTTAGTTATGTCTCTCTATCCATTGCTTATGAAGTACTGAAGTTGCCTTGAAATGATCTGATTTGAAATTTGGAATTTGTGAGAACAGTTATAAGTACATAACCACTTTGATTCTAGAATTAGGTAGTCAGTTGGCCCTCTCTATCCATGGATTCAACCATCCACCATTTGAAAATATTCAAAAAATAAAAAAATTCCAAAAAACAAAATCTGGATTTGGTTGTTTTATGTAAGGGATCCTTTCTTTCTTTCTTTCTTTTCCTTTCTTTCTTTCTTTTTCTTTGTTTCTTTGCTGTGAGTTGCCGAAGAAGACACTAGAAATCCCATATTTCTTTCCTGCTTAGTGCCTATACTTCCTTAACTGGGGAAATCTGCTGAAAAGCCCCATAAACCTCTCAGGGTTGGTTCTTTTCTTCTTCTTTTTTTTCTTTGCTGTGAGTTGCCTAAGAAGACACTAGAAATCCCATACTTTCATGCCTATACTTCCCTAACTTGTGAAATCAGCTCAAAAGGCCCCCAAAGAACACACTAGAAATCCCATACCTATATTCCCTAACTTTTGAAATCAGGGAGAGAGAATCCCCTGAAGTTTGCTCAGTACCATTTGCTGTTTTTCGCATATTGCGCAAGCGCGACCGCCATTAACAAAGCAATTAGGAAATTTCAGAAAGTTCAAAAAGAAATTTTGGAAAAAATTGTAATTTAATTCCGAATTGAACCACCAGCACCCCCTACATCCGAAATGAGTTTTGAACCATTGTTTTCTGATCAATCAAGCCTACTAAATACACCACAAAAATACTATACAAACCGTTGAAAGGCTACAATAAATCAATGGTGAGATGCACCCTTAAAATACTGCATATGATACTATATAGTTAAAAACCAAGTAAAATTCAGTATTATTCAAACTTAAGCAAGAAACACTTTGGATATAGACAACTACACTATGATTATGTAAAAGTATACAAATTCACTGTTTGAAATTACTACTGATAGAAACAAGCACCAACCAGAATTCCAATCCAAAATCAACAAAGCCGGTAGCCTGAAAACAGCAGTCAGAAGTCCAAGTCAGAAACCAAAACACAGCAGTCCAGGGTACAGCCCAGAATCAATAAAGCCAATAATACAAAGAGTCCAGATTCACATCACAATGCTGTCTTTTTTGATAAGGCCAAACCTTGAGAACCTTTGTTCTATCTTATGATCTCAGGTGTTGCCCGTGTAGAAACCCGTTTCTTGGCTAATAGGGTAAACTTTCAGGCAGCAGCATGCTCTCATTGGTATTCTAAAAGGGATGGGACATGTAACCCTTCATTGGCTTGCCCTGATGTACTGGCTTCTACTTGATCCCCTATCAGCTTTAGTTTTTGAAATATAGAACATATGTCATGTACCAGTCATCATCTGCTCATTCATGGAAAAACAATGTCAACTATATATTAAAAAGTCGAGCTGATGCAATCTTCTGAATCAGCGCCCCAAATAACCCCAGAAACCAAGACACCAAAGATAGACTGTGTTATTGATTGTAAAAGTGAAGAAATTTGATTTCATGTGATAGAACACCCTACTCCTAAAGAATATCAGAATTATATTGACATCTTAGAATGGGATTTGTATTAATTTGAACAACAACGCCAAATCACATAACGCTAATAGGAATGTTGATCACTGTCTTATAAATTACACAAAATAAAATTCCTTAGCTCAGAATTCACAGTTGTAATGAAGTCTACAGTTACATTGTGGATGTGGATCTTCATTCTTAAGATCCATGAAAGCTAATCCTTTTATCTGCAGAAACCTTGAAGTGGACCCAACAGCTTTTTTGTTGTTGTTGTATCAGGAGAGACTTGAGAAACTGCAAGTCGTTTCTGGTGTGAGAGAATTGGCTGTCTGCAAGAACGTTGCCAGGGGACGCCCGGATGTTTTGATGTTTTTACCATCCTTTTGGGAGGCTTCCCTCATGTTCCTGCATGAGGAGCTGAGGTGATACAGGGAGCTCATATACTCTCCCCAGATTCGAACCTGTGACCTGTCGGTCTTCAGTCCTGCCAGCACAAGGATTTACAGTACTAGCTAGCCAAGGAAGAGCTGAGCAAATTTGACTTTAATCTCTATTTGCTTCTGTATCATTACAACCTACCAAAGGAACCCACAGTTGATAAAATACATTGAGTAAAGGTAAAGGTTTCCCTCGGCATTAAGCCTCACCCCGCTCCCCAGCAGCTCTGTGATTTAACCTGCTGCACCACCAGGGATACGTGTGATACGTGGATATAGAGTAGATACGTGTCTACAAAACCAGCATCTTGGAGTTGGATGGTGCAATTACCTCCTTTCATCTACCTATCTTGTCAGTCCATCAGCTGTGAGGGAATAATCACCAAAGGAGATGCTCCCAGTGGGACTCACACCTCTGCCTCTGTTTGGGAATTTCTGCAGATCAAGTCATTAGAAATCTTAAACTCTCTTCTCAAGGTGAGTGATTGTTCCTTGGAAATGTTATCTGGTCATTTGGAGATAGTGTTACATCTAAGGAGATCACCAATATTCACAGAGGCATTGTGCTATCACCTCATTCCTCCTTGATCTGCATTACTCCTCTTGCACAGACTTTGATGGAGTCACCCTTGGAATGACCCAACTAAACATTAGATATTTTTGCACATGTTCCTACAACTTAAAGATCTGTCCCTTCTTGATGTTTACACTTCCAACATTTATCATTATGGCCTTTGTGTGTTTTAGCCAATCTATATGGTGTTAATAGTGTCTTCTCATTATTTTTTAATTCCACAGTCAGACTTTGCCATTACATGTCTTGTTGGTTTTGTCTGAGATTTATCAATTGGAAAAGCAGCCATTATTGGAGAGGTCAAAAATCAGCCAACATTTATTCTGCTTTCAGTGATGTGTTAAATATATACATTGGACCCTCGGTGTCCACCAGGGCTTGGTTCAAAACCAGGAATATCAAAATCATAGATGCTTTGTGTTATTATTATTATTATTAATGATGGAGTAGATAGGCATCCTATATATGAAATGCCAAACATTTCACATGAATATCAGGGAGAACTTGAGGATCTTTCGAATAGCAGGAGGCTATACATCAGTAAGTTTTACTTTTTGGAGTTTTTGTCCCCAAATATTTTTAAGCCATGGTTAGTTGAATGCAGAACCTATGACAACTGAGGGCTGACTGTATATAGTAAATGATACCTTAGGTATTTTGCAGGTAATAAAAATGGATACCTTATCTAAGTCATCTTAGTATGTTTGTGATGCAAACATTGAAACACATATGCCTTCTAGACAAAATTTCTACAGCACTGATTTACTAGGAAAGAAACTATTACAAAATCCTACAGTTGGAAGACACCACAAGGGCTATTCATGTCATGTCCAATCTCTTGCCGTGAAGGAATAAACAATATTTTTTCCCTAGTTCCACAGATTAATGGTTAATATGGTTGGTCTCTGTCTGCTCTTACTGTTGACATGTGCCCCAGGTTTGAGCAGTTATAAAACAAAGAAGGCGGTACCCAACCAACCCCAACAAAAGACCATAAAGTCCCATCTAGTTGAGGCCGGTGTCCACACTCTGCCAAAAGAGACGGACAGTTGACAACCTGCATCATGGAATGGGATGGTACACTCATCCTTCTCCTTGCTGTCTTTATTTCTTGCTGTCTGCTCATATCATCTAAGATGCAACAATTGCACAAGGGGAGACTTCCTCCGGGACCCACTCCCCTGCCTCTGATTGGGAATTTCCTGCAGATCAAGTCAGGAGAAACCTTAAAATCTCTTCTAAAGGTAATTTGAACTCTTATATTTTATGGCAGAAAGACCTGGTAACTTGTTTAATGGTCAGGAAGCAATGTTTCTCAAATGAAGTAACATCATGAACACTGTTAGAGAGAGAGGTAAGAACACACACATCTGCATCTCCTGAAAGGAAGTTTGGAAGCTATCCTTTTTCTTTGCCTTTTTTTCTTTCTTTATATATATATTTTTATAAAGAAATCTCTTATCATGGTTTGTGGTTGTCCCCTGAAATTCAACTTGGGCATTATGGATGTAATAGAAAAATCATGAAGATTAAGATTCATCGAGGCATTGAGTTGTCTCATTAGTTTCCTTCCATTGCCATTCTTTCTCTTGCATTGGCTATACATTTTTATCTTTATGATTTTCCCCAACTACACTTGCAAATATTCCTGCATGTCAAGCTGCACGGT